GAGACGAGGTCAAATACTTTATTGAGCTGGATATCGAACCAGAAAAGCGGGAAACTCAGAATGATGCATACTTGTGCATGAATAGTGGTAATGATAGCGATGAGGGTGAACAATATCAAAGAAAACAACAATCATTACTTCGGGAAGGATTTCCAAGCCACCTCCGGGTCTGAATCATTTTGTTTAAAATAGCTAACGTAGGGTAAAGTAAAATTAAGTAGAGTTCAGAGTTACATATTAGTATTAAGTATAGGAAGGGGATGTAAGGAGGTATATAGATGTCGAGGTCAACGGGTCGAGGACGGATGACAAACAGTGGATGTGAGGTTAACAATATAGAGCATGATGACAAAGCTATATGGGGATAGCGTTCCTCCGATATGCAATAACGGCCATTTGCACCAGTGAAACTAAGGGTCACCCTAACATAAGAGTGACAGAATTCGTTTACACCGCTGTCACCTAACGTTAAAGCGAACCTTAACAGGCAAATAATTTAAGGGGAAGATGAAGTGCCGCTTAAGTGGATCCTAAAGTCAGATTCCAGTCAGATTTGAAGACTAACCTCAAACAGAATTTTGCAGTTGCAGTATTTTGCTGCAAACAAGCCCATTTGTCATTATCAACCGATAATAATTGGTATATTCCGTGTACTAAACCATTTTATGATGAATGTGTTAAGTAATGATCTGTTATTTGATAATGATGACAGCGACCATGTGCGAGTTCCTAGACTAGTTTACGAGAGAACACATTATTTGATAGTTTTGATGATGTTCTGTTTTTTCAACGTGTTCCTTGTCACAAAGTACACCGCACTTTTCATATCGAACCTCATAGAAGAGGTCTAGGTCTATTCTATATATTTTTATGTACCTCGTATATTTAAACGATATCTGTTAATTTCTGTTTATAGTCGATAGAGGATATAACATAACTCCGTTACAACAGCCTGCAAATCATGCAGAACAATTATTCAACGAGTCGCATATACGGATAAGAAATATAATTGAGCGGATATTTGGTATCTGGAAAAGAGGATTCCCAGCCCTTGCATACGGTTGTCGTCTAAAAATAGATACGGTCTTAATAATAAAATAATTGAGTAGAGAGCAAAATGAGGAACAGCCACCTGATCATGAAGATGTTGAACGCTTCATACATCTTATGCAAGAAGATGAAGTACCTACCATAAGCGACATATATAACAGAATATTGTTGCAAGGGAATCAAACTAAGAGGGACTTAACTGATCCTATTTTGGATTCATTGATAAATAGCGATGAATTGAATTGAAAGCAATGCTTTTGATAAAGGATCAAAATTATTAAATTAAAGTTCATTATTAAATTGAAATAACTTATGATGCATTACTAAAACAAATGCAAAATAGCATTATTTGCTGAAGTCTTTTTTAAGTATTCCAATTTTAACTTTTCCTACTGAAACTCTAACATGATTTTGTCCTGCTCTTTTTTGGCTAAAATGTTTTGAAGCTCCTCTTCATAACATAGCATTGTTCGCTTCCAACTGGCAGTCTAAGGTTTTTCCTTATAGGAGAAATGTAGTCCGTTTTTTATTTTCAAATGACTCCATCTTTAATATATTATTAATTAATTACATTTGAGACGTAAACAGTAACGGCAACCTCGCATTCAGATCTAAGGTAAAGGTTATTTTGAAAAGAAAAGGATGGAGCAAAAGCCAACTTGTCACTTTTAGCGATGTTGCCAGGCAAAACTTCATCTTAGCTAAGTATCACTTAATTGACTGCCTTGCAAAGCTGTCTGTAGTTAGGGTTAACCTTAATCCAAAGTTATCCCTAACTAAGAACTAAGAATAAGTTTTAAGGAAGACTGGTGCAAATGGCCGTAAGATACAGAATATAATCAACTGGCTGTATTATCGCAAAGACTCTGGAGGTGAGCACGTGGTTAGAGCGAGGAAAAAGAGCGCGATAGCGTGACTGTTTCTGATCGTGGTATTGCTCCCGTTTTTATAGTTGATCGTCCTGGTTATCAAACCACAGTCAAGGTTGCCAACGCCGTTCAACGAATCCTTGGGTTAGTTCCTTTATTACATGGTTGTTGAGCGGCGTTGCTAGGTGTGCACCACAGCTATATTAAAGTGTTTTAATTAATAATAAAATAACCACAGTCAACACAACAAAACGTAACATTTTTAAGAAAAATTCTTCAAAATAGATCGTTTTTGAAAAGAAAGCAGAGCAAAAAAAATTCAGTGAAAACTAAAAAAACGATTTTTTTTAACAAACTCCAGTTTTCAGAGGAATGGAAGTGACGAGTTTTCCACATAATTTATTATAAACTTTCGCTTATTCAGTTCGTTTTTTGACAGAAAATTATTTGATTTTTGTCCCAAATTTTCATTCAAAATCATCAAAATTTCGTGAGAAATCCTCAAGTGGTTCTGTAGCAAGCGGCAACGTCGTTCACTACACAGCATACATTAAAATGCAAAACTGACCTCTTTCTACGCATGCTCCAACGTTCATAACAAATGATAGATTGGCGAGACGACCTAACCAGAGATAAGACCATAGAACAAGGCTTATATAGAAACGACTCTTACTCGTGTAGAAAGTTTGTCGCTAAACTGGCGCGCCCTGGTGGCTGAGAATTAAAGAATTCAAACAAACCTGCATTATGAACTCACTACACTTGCTTATTTTTAATTGTGTCGCAAGAGGCAGCTGATAATAGGGATAAATGACACAACTACACAAAAATACATATAAATATATGTATTACTTGTTGTTTATTGTTTATATAAATACTGTTTACAGATAAAAAAATCTTTGGAGCATTTTTAGGAACAACTTTAAAACATACGCCTTTTGTGATAGGAAGCCGTGCATTTTCTAACAGCCTTCAAGACACCAATAAACAGTTACCATCTTCGCAGATTATTGACGATTTATGAAAACAGATAAGAAAAAAGATAATATGAAAATATCATTATTCATTTTGAACAGAGGTTTCTGTTCAAATATTAATCTGTAATTCTACATAATACAGAGGTATTAAGTACCGGTTACAGCGGTGAGCAACCCGATGCTATGAACTAGCTCTAATGAGAAAAATATCCTGTTTTCCATTTATTTGTTTCTTGATGAAAATGCGACCTGAATAATAAGCTAAGTGATTTCGACTTACCCAACAAAATATTCACAAATTACGTATTGGAGAACATGGGGAAATATATCACAATCCAGTAAGTGCAGGAAGCATGAGGCACGAAATCATACAACTTATCACAGATTATATCGTCAGAAATGAATAAAATCGGCATAGGCTTTTTCTTTGGATGATAGGGAATAATCAACATCGACAGACATCTTGTCCATGACAAACCCATAAACAACAATCACTCGTCTTTATCTATGACAACAATGGGGAAGATTTATTTGAAATTTAACACGTTATCGCATTCATCCACAGAATATTTTCCTACAGTGGGTTATTTCATGATTTAATCTGTAGCTCTTTATCGTCTGTAGCGCCTCTGGCGACTATGAAATCAGTCGTTCTCGGTTAGGTTTAGTGAGAGTGCCCAGCAGAGACAAGAAATAATTTATCTCTTGTCTCTGGTGCCCAGGGCATGGACAAGACTTGTCTGTGACCACAGAACATACCCTTGATATTTTGTGTCTCTGCTCTGACCTAACCTTAAAATCCACCACATTGTTGACAATTGTTGGTCTGAACCTGAAGTGTATTGAACATTTTTAGTAGGATCAAAATTCTAGTACAATTTGGAATCTGAAAGGTATATAATATAGTGGTTCTAGAGCGAATGCAACTGTTTATCTTATGAGCTGCTATTTATTTTGCTCTGTGCCACCAAACTGATTCAACTGTCGCGTAGAAGTGGCCATATAATAAATTGTCACCCAGATGCATAGCAAGAAATAAACAACCATTCCATGTTGTTCCATTAAGGTTGCAATTAACATCTTAATACTGTTCATGTCTTATTTACTAAGGAATCGCTGTGGGAACCGTGTCTGTATGTAACGTATGTCCTATGAATGTAACAGAACTTCATTTTCATCCCTATTTGAAATGCTTAATGGTTTTGTTTGTTTGTCTTTCTCATTATTTAGGATTTTTTAGGACATGTAGAGTGCGTGATGCATGTCCTATTTGGTGATGTACACAATAAACCTTTTTAAATAGGAGTTGTTTATTATTTCTCTACCTGTTATTAAGTTCCATTTTTTAACAGTTACCGAACATAAAGTTGAGTTTTCTGGTTTATAGGAGTTTTTAATCTTCACTTAAAGTGGAATTTTAACCGGCATTGTCCTGCACAATTCATTTAATAAAAATTGTAGGCAATTGTAATTGTTGTATAAAAATAGTAGAATGAAAACAATAGGTATGCTTTTATACTGAGAGCCATCTATTTAATCATTAAATTACGAATTATCTGGAAACCGTAAATAACCAAAATTTAAAAAATGTGCAGGTTCAGATACGCAAAAAGGGAAGCGGCGTGCGCGATATTCTGAATAGTGAGTAATCTGCTCAGAGTAAATACTATTTACTCTGAGGTAGTCTGTGATTCAGATCCATAGAACAAGACCACAGATCACAGAAGTTCTCTGTAATCTGTGAACAACACAGAACATACCCCCTAGGGAGGATATTTTGTGGTGAACAAGACTTATCAACAAGGTGGTGGATTTTAGGTTAGGTCGTCTCTCTTAAACGTTGGAGCATGCGCAGAAAGAGGTCAGTTTTGCATTTTAATGTGTGCTTTCACTACACTACTTCTAGTGTTTACAGCAGCGCCTTGCGTTGTTTTGCTTGAATAATATATGTCATATAAATCCGGCAAGAATGGGCGCTCGGGAGCCTGCTGAAATGAAAGACTATTCGAAAAAAGCAAACTAAAAGGAATTTGTGACAGAAATGTAAAATACTTGCAATAAAAAAGTGTTTAAAATAATATAAATGAAAACATTCTTAATCACGTTAAATTGCAGTTTTTTATAAAGTAATTAAGCCTTATTACAATATTTTAGACCATTTTCATACAGATCAGGCTATAAAGTGCCAAAGGTGTCAACGTTGTTGTGCGCGAATTTCAAAGCTGGGAATTTTTTACAACCTATGCAATAAAATGCCTGGGGATCCAGAGGAAAAGTCCAGTAAAAACAAACGAATCTATAAGCGATGACAAGTTGATTTCAGTATACGATGCCTCAGGCTGTGTCTTTGGCGCTCAGTACCATTCAATTGTGTGAACAATAAAAAAACATAATTAATATCTAGCAGGTGAACTCTGTCATCAGAAATCCCGGTTATGCGACCAAACGACTTTTATTTCTCTTTGGAATAAAAGATATATGATAATGTTGCGGAACCAGACCAGCTTTGTCAAGGTCGGTGGCGAATTGCCGGTACCAGAGCGATTCATCAGATTGATATCGGCCAATCATGTGTGACGCCTAAGCGATCCGGAAAAAAACAAAACAATAAATTAACCAGAGGCTAATTAGCCAAGGGGCTGGCATGGACTTTTGGTAGGCAGATGATTAATCATTGCATTCACTTTGATTCGAACAATGAGGCGAACGAAACAGCGGCCTTAATTTCATTTGGGACCAAATTGCGCAAACTAATAACCGTTGACATTTCAGGTCGAATCTTGAGGAATTTGAAAAAATCCCAATCAAGGCGGGCCCCTTCAGTCGGATCAAGATAAGTCGTTACTTCCCAAAACCCCAATTAGTCAACGATGCAAATTTCCTAGTGGAAACAGTCCGTTTTTTCCTTTCCCATAACCGGTAGTAGCTAGAGCAAAGTCATATATCGGCTTGAAAAAGCTGGCCGGTACCTCCCAAGAAGTGAACCGCGTCACGGCCATCTACCGTAAAAGAACTATCAGTTTGTCGGATTTGCTTAGTTGGGTGCCGAAATCTTTGCGAGAAGATCCGCTTCTTTCCGCAACGCAAATCGTTCCTTTGCGGATAACGCGCTTATTTCGATCTGTGGATTTTGTGGCTTGATTTTGCCTGGTTCAATGTGAGTAGGTGCCTTAATTTGAAAAATCACTAAAACAAAACATTCTTAATAAAAACCCGCAGCTTTGTAAAAACCCGCAAACAAACAATTGTTTTTTAATTACCGCTTCGGGTGCAAACTTATATTTGAAGATCATTTCGCTTGAAAGAAAGCGTTTTGCTCAAAAGCCTGCTAAAACCCAGCCTGTATTATTTCTGGCTTTTCCGCAACCAATTTTTGAAAAAACGAATTTAATCAGGCTCCTAAAGAAAATTGCGGCATTTGAACTGCTCGACAAAATCAACGTGTTCTCAGCTGGACCAAAAAAACCTTCTTTTTTCGCATTTAAACACCACATGAAGTAAGATAGACCTCAAACCTCGAGAAGAGATTTTGAATTTTTCGCCCATCTCGTTTATTTACGAGTGGTCTCAAAAAATTAACGTTTTGGTATTGCAGTGAGAAATTTTCTCCTCTGCATTTTTTGAGAGCATCCATTTTGAGTTAATTTTTTGAGACCACCCTGTAGGTAAATGGAAAAGAAGGCCGAAACATTCCAAACCGTTTCGAGCTATTTGGTTTATTTATGAACCTTTGGTGTTGAGATGCAAAAAACTTTTTTGTTTGTCCAACTAGAAGCATGCAACCGTGCATTTTTTCATTGGTCACCCTGTAGAACTATTGCCTGAAATGCTTAATTCTGACCAAAACATCGACTAACAGAAAACAAATGGGGCTCAGTAACGCTTGCAACAGAAACGAAATCGCCTGAAGCAATCAGAACTTAACCACTTCCAAAGTTATTCTTGGAGTTATTCTTATATATTGGAGTTATTCTAGCTTGTCAGCTCAAAGTTAAAACTTTCCCTAACTTCTACGCGACTGGTTTAAATGGAAAAATCAATGTTTTTAACAGGAATGCCCTTTTTCATTAAACACTCCTAATTGTTCGCAGGTCCTTGCGTGAAAACTGGTGGTAACACTGTGTTGAGTTGCGCTATTGAGTCGTTGCCATTCTCTGAGTTAACCAGTTATAACTGATCGGTTCATGAGTCAAAGTCATTTATCAAAGCTTTACGAGACCCGAGACTTGAATTTTCACATCTAAAAAAAGGTCATTATTCATTGTTCGACTGTTTTACTACTTCAGCACCAAGCCATTTGCGTAGCACTGCGCCAACCCCAAAAAAGAGTTACCCAGGCCCATATCGGTATGCTTTCAGGGCCAATTGTGGCTTTGTTGGAATAGAAGCCCCACCAAACCAAACAAAACAAATGGGTTTATCGGTCGTTTGATTGTCGATTGAGATGCGAGTTTTCCAATTGAAATGTTGCGGCCTTGTTGTCGATGTTTTTTCACTCTTATTATTCAAATGCAAGTAGTGGAAAATGCCGATTATGCGTGTACTTATTTGAATAATTGATTCCTTAATTATTATTTGTTAAAGAACTGCGGATCGGGGAAATCCGGAAAGGTTGAGGCCGAAACGTTGGCCGTGGCTCGGATTTCGATTCGTTTTTTTTAACACCGGTTGACATTGTCGAAAATATTCTGCAATCAGGCCACACTGTTAATTAATCACTGCTGATTGTCATCTAAATCTACCAAATTCTAAATCAATGACATCAAGCGAACCCTTCTATTTACTACTGTTTAAATACACACAGCGAAAAACGAAAGTGTTGCGAAGCAGACGCCGATTAACCGTTGCGGTAACATGTAATTTCCATCCAATAATAATTATAATTGCAGACTTCCCTAAATGTGCAGCAGGCACATTGACCTACAGCCACCTTTAAACTTTCATTGAATGCCGTGCGTAGGGTCAATTAATCGCCACACGCACACTCTCAGCAAGAGAAAGCATCCTTTAATAGATTTACGGGAGCAGGCATGTAATGAACTAAATTTTCGCAGAAGAAAAGCCATGAAAACCGCCTTGCTATGTCTGTTCTTCGGCTTGGCTGCAGTACGGAGTGACCAACAAGGGCGCAATTCCCGTTTCCTTAGCCACACGCCGCTATTGGCTCTGCCTCCGGTGGGAACCATTGCCATTGGTCCGCATTCCCACAGCCTGCCGCCAATAGGGATTCACAGCCCCAGATTTTCCATTCAGACCTTCCAGGATCCGCACTATGTGGAGGTGCAGAAGAAGAAACTCGTCCCCATTCCAGCGGAGGACTTAATTGATGAAGAATGGAAAACTTTCAAGGTAGCCAACCAGGGTATTTTAGCCTAAGCAATGAGTCGCGCAGAGAGGGTGAAAGAACGCAATATCTCACAAAGAAAAAGAAACTTTTGAAAACATTCAAAATGCCTACACGGGTAAAATTGGGTAAATATGAAGTCAAAGTGTGGAACAAACTAAGAAATAATCAAGTAAAAACAAATGAGAGACATGAACATATTCATTCAGACGTGAAGATATTTATGAGTTTTAACTCATTGGTTAATGAGTTATAACTCATGGTCGGTGGCGAAATTTTAGCATTGCTTTTGCTTTTTTTGTTAGATGCTAGTGCCTAAATGTTATCGAAAAGAACAAGATAGCTTTGTTTCGATTTTGTCCCAAATTCAAGGCGCATCAAAACGGGTATTCGAAAAAGACGATAAAGAAGACGACTTTTCTTCTGAAATCCATCTTTTATTTTTTTTTGCATGAAAGACTCTCAGTTAGCCAGTATTTTACAGCAAAACGTTAGGAAAAAACGCGTTGTTCTGTTTAGAGAGAGTTTTCTTGAGAAATATTGAAATAAAAGTGAAGAAATCGGAATTTAAACAAACCATATTATTCACGGCGACAAAAGTGACGAGTTTTCCGAATAATTGATTATAAACTTTCACTTGCTCTGTTCGGGAAAATATTTTTGGGAAAAAATCCAGAAAACATTATTAGGGTTTTGTCCAAAATTCGAAGCTGCAAAAGGTTCCAGAAGAAAATTACAAAGCTTTCACAGAAAATACCTGAAGATTGTCAGTACCTATTTTAAGTGAAACTAAAAATAATACTTTTTGCAATAATACTTAGAAATAATTGCTTAATGGAAACTTTGCTAAACCTGGAATAACCTGAAATTTTAAAGGAATTTGAAAAAATCTTCAACGATGAGGGTGACGAATTTTCCAAGTAATTTTTAGGAAACTTTTGCTCTCTGGCCGTTTTTTAAAGATAATCTTAAATACTTTCGGTAAAAAACTGAATAAAATTATTTGGTTTTTGAGCCAAATTCGAAGCTGAAAAGGTCCGATTATTGTAAAAAAAATGATCAGAAATCTGAAGAATGAAGAAGAATCTCACTTTTGGTTTTGTGATCGGGTTTGAAAAAATCTTAATGATTTTCGGGAAAAAACGGGAGAAATTTATTTTCGTTTTTATCCCGAATTCGACGCTGAAAAAAGTTTTTGTAAAATTCATCCCAAGCTCTAGATTTATCTTGTAATTTTTCGCGTAAAAGATGTCCAGATCTTCAGTATTTTAAGGTGAAACTTTACAAAATAGAGCGTTTTTAAGTGGAAAGTCAAGCAAAAAAATCAGTCAAAACTTAATTTATTATAAACTTTCGCTTATTCAGTTCGTTTTTTGATAGAAAATTATTTAATTTTTGTCCTAAATTCGAGGATGGGAAGGGATTTCGAAACTTTTTACAATGGGACGAAGGAGGCGAGTATTCTAATAAAATTTATTACATAATTTTTCTCGGAAAATACCTGAAGATTGTCAGTATTTTTAAGTACATACTTTCCTGACTGTGTTTCAATTCCAAATCAAAATTAATTCCTGGGTTAAAAACAAAAGCTACACTTTTTTAAACGGCAACTACTATTTCTGATACCAAAAATAAATATAAATTTGAATTTCAAATAAACCTCTGCATCCTTGTTTTTTTGCAATTAATGTGACATAGGTATGTCAAAAACTATGACAGATAAGTATTGACAAATGGTTTTACACTTAAAATTTAATGCTGAATACAAATATTTTCATTTACAAAATAGGGACTTTCCGTTTAAAAAGCCCAATATATCCTCGATTTTCGATGTTTCCGGAAGCGTCGCCATTTTGAGAAATAGTAACTTTCGTCTCGCGTCTACTATTTTTCTTGATCCTCGGTGGAAACTAGCCGGGAACACTATAAGGTTTTAAAAAAAAACTTTGAAAATGTTGTCAAAACAGTCAGTGACAAAGTCAAGCTGTCAGCGTGCGTGGCGAAAACTATTACTTTCCACACGGGATGAATAAAAGTGATGCTTTTGCCATCGAGAACAGTGGCGAAAGTACGTACTTTTCACCAGGGTATCAAGGAAAACCTTTTTTGTATGCTTATTAATAATCAATAGGTAGAGTAATTCCGGGAGAGATGAACCACCTTTTTTGATTCGACCTTATCTTTACAAAAAATAGCTTTATTGACGTAAAAAAAATGTTGTCACAAACATTTTAACTAACTGCAATCAGAACTGTAACTAAAGACTAAAAACTCGGACACATTTGCTGACAAAAAAATAAAATAAAAAACCGTTATGTGGTCCAACTAACCCAAAATCTGCGGGACAGTTGAACCACCGATTTGGGACAGTTGGACCACACAGGGAGAGATGAACCGTAGCAAAGGATAAGGAACAAAATTAAACTTAATTAATTTTTTTTAAATTTTTTAATTAATAAGTTTTTTTGCACATATTTTCAAAGTTTGTACACGACTCATGAAGCCACCGGGTACACGACTCATGAAACATCTTCAACAACACTTATGCTAAGATCTGAATGGCGACTTAGGAAAAGATGTAGTGAGTCGTATTCTGCCATTTTTGTGATTGCGTTAAAACGATGCTTCAACGATAACTGTTCAGCAACAGCAAACGTTAAATGTCGCATATCATTCCGTGTTGGGGCAAAACCAAATTTTTGCAGCTTTTTTACATGTGCTACTATTGTCGCTTCATTTTCTTCTCCTAAAGTAGACGAAGAACTCAGTGAGCCAGTTTTTTAGTTTTGCGCACGGCTTTCTTGTAATTAGAGTAGCTTTGGGAATATTAAAGTGTCTGGCTGCGGCTTTGACCCCCATTGTTTTTGTATCTATAGCCTTACAACATTTTTGAGGTCTTCTTCGGTCCATCTAGCTCTTTGTGAGCTCAACTTCCGATGGTATTTTGTAGGCATTGTATACAACAGAAAAATAAAAACCGGTTCAACTGTCCCGATTTACTCTGGTCCATCTATCCCAAATTTCAGGGATAGACGGACCACCCAAAAACAAAAAATCTATCTATTAATCGGCTTTCACATCATTTACGTTGTCCTGAATGAATACCATGCAACGCATTTTTAACCACAAATCGCATTTTAAAACTTTCTTTTAGTTAGAATCGCACCTTCAAAATACCGTTAAAAAAATGTCTACCATTTGTAAATGCAGAAACAAATAAAGCCACTCTCGAAAATTAACTACACATAAAGCGGAGTAGTAAAATTGTTGACGGGGTAGCGTTGAAATATTCTTCCTATACCATGTACAGTGGAAAATACCCGACTGGTCCATCTCAGGCGGTGGTTCATCTCTCCCGGAATTACCCTACACATATAACTCGTTTCTCTTTCTTTAGTTAGGGTTTAGGGCCCCGTTAAAAATTTAGTTCTTTAAAAGGGTTCCGTCACGAAAAAAGTTTGAGAACCACTGATTTAGACTGTAGATTGTAAACTTCTGCGTTGTTTCTACAGAAAAATGCAATTTTCTGCTCGAGACTGAATTATCAATCTGTTAGATGACCTACGCCAAAGTGTACCCGACATCGGAAATCGAGTCCTTCAGAAAGGAAGTTTTCATCGAAAACCGTGCCAAAATAGCCAAATTCAACCAAGAATACAGCCAGGGAAAGAGGAACTTTGTACAGCAGCTCAACCCTTTTGGAGACCTGCTGCACCACGAATTTACCCAACTTTTGAACGGATTCAATCGAAGTACGCTGCCTAGAGTGAACGTGCCGACCCCAACCACTTTCATCCCGAGTGCCAATGTGGCTCTGCCCGCCACTGTAGATTGGAGGCAAGTGGGCGCGGTCACTCCAGTTAAGTCCCAGGGCAGCTGTGCCAGCTGTTGGGCGTTTGCCGCTGTAAGTATGCAACAAACCGTGTGAATCCTTGATTTTAATTGGTCACTAGGCAGGTGCATTGGAAGGGCATTGGTTCCGGAAAACCGGCCAATTGGTGGACGTCAGCGAACAAAACCTAATCGACTGCACCAAATCGTACGGAAACGATGGCTGCATGGGAGGGTTGGTCGATCCGGCTTTTCAATACATCCGAGCCAATGGTGGGGTGGACGGCGAAGAAAGCTACCCTTATGAATCACGAGACGATCAACAATGTCGCTTCAAGTCAGAAAACGTTGTGGCTGAATGCACAGGTGAGTGATGAAAATCAAAACAACCAATTAGTACCGAAATAGCGATAGAATGTCACGGATAATGATTATAATTAAATTCCATCTGCTATATGAGCAACATAATAAAGTACAAACATGAAAACCAGTCCTCGTAAAATGATGCAACCGTTTTTTTGTCAATGTTAAAATCGCAGGATTTATTGGCATTTTTACATTGGAGTTAATTGTTAGTTTCGGGCCGTTAAAGACCGAAAACAACTTTCCAATATGCATTATTTGGCCTTTAAGTTGGATTATCTGTGGGCGGGTGGGTCTAACCATTTACGCTACTTCAAATTTTCTGTTCATCTTACGACCTAAGAACTTCCTCAATAACGCATTTGAGAATAATAATAAAAAGTGTCGAACAATCCCATCATTACACAAAGAACCCAACCTTCACTACCGGACATTGAAGAATCACTTTAATCAAATGGACGCTTTGCTTACGGCTCGAAATATTAAGAAAAACAGACAATAAATTCGAAGATGTTAAAAGGCGCGTTGATTAAGGTCAATGTTGAACTGATGAGTGATATTGCGAGCGCAAGTGTAAATAAAACAATAAATAATCGACTAGCCTTGATAGCCATTATCGACCTTTTGAAGTATTTAAACTATTACAAAAATCAAACAGGATTTCACGCTCAGATTGGCTAAATAAAAATAACGCACTTACTTCCTAAACAGCGATCAATCACTCGTTTATGGGAACAGTGAATTTTGTGCAAAAGGGGCTTTCTTGCGTCTTCAAAAAAACCAACGTACAACAAAAATCTTGATAAAAATGAAACTGGATAATTTTTCGGGCTTTTAAGCTACGGGTCCATTGGATACTTTTGTATCGCAACAAGGCGATTGTTGCGCTACATTTGTTGCCGTGCTGTGTTCACTAGACGGCGAGTTGCACGCTACTTTTGTATACGCAACATTGTATCAAGAATCTGTGCTTCAAATGTTGCGCGACTCGTGTCCACTAGAATACCTAAGAAGCGCAACAATTTTATATCTCCAGAGACTTTTCCGTACTTGTTTCAGTCGATCAGTTTCAGTTTGAAAATGTCGAGAAAACTTGCTGCTGCTCTAATTGTGCTTTGAACTATAAAAAGACGAAAACTTGCTAAAAAAAGGAAAAGATGAGTAACAATGTTGCGTATACAAAAGTAGCTTGCAACTCGCCGTCTAGTGAACACAGCACGGCAACAAATGCAGCGCAACAATCGACTTGTTGCGATACAAAAGTATCCAGTGGACCCGTACCTTATTAGGTCGACGCGTGAAAGAATTAGGTACTTCCTGAAGTTTCGCAAATAAACTTTTGACTCTGAAGATGCAAGCCACTTGGACTTCAATCGAATATATTTTCAATTACAACATACGATATGTTGTACAACATATTTTAATTATAAATTGGTGTTTGCAGTTTGTATTGAATCTTAAATCTGATGATGGCGCTGTGGTCTCGCCGAAACGTAATATAAACATTTTTATTTCACATTTTGACTGAAACCCAGGAAAGAAAAAATAGAATATCTATTAAAACATAATATTGAGGGTGTTGCTCTTGCATTTCTTGCAAGATCAAGACCAGTCTCGCCCATCACTGCTTGGGTTACGAAACATCAATAAGCACTCCTTTTCCTAGAACTAAAGGCGCGACAAACTGTCCAGCTTTTGCCGATTTATTAATCGTTTGATTGCAGGCTACGTGGACATAGCTGAGGCAGATGAAAAGGGCCTCGAACTAGCCATAGCTACTTTAGGGCCGGTAGCTGCCGCAATCGACGCTAGCAAGGACGGGTTCCAGTTCTACTCAGATGGAATCTACTACGATCCAGACTGTGGACGAACGCAAGCCGAGATGAACCACGCCGTGCTGGTGGTTGGTTACGGGCAAGAACCGAATGGGCAAAAGTACTGGCTAGTGAAGAATTCCTACGGGCCTCAATGGGGCATCGGAGGCTACGTGAGGATGGCTAAAGACGCGAACAATCACTGCGGAATCGCCAACGAGGCCAGCTATCCTCTGGTGTAGATGTTCTCAGGCTTGAAGTTCTAAACTTAAGTATTTATTTCCTTTAACTCATAACTGCCACTACAATAAGACGCGCGCTGTTTTACATTGGTTGTTCACTGGAGATAAACGATTATAAACCGAAGTCATAAAAGGTGTATTGTTGATTTTTTCCCATCCCAACCGGTGTAAATTTACAGTTACAGAAACTCGCGATTGAGCCTTCCACCCTCTTAAAGGCCCATTCTGTGTGCGTAAAAAACTTCACACCGTGGGAATTTCCAGATTGAATGACCTCAAGCCGAGCTCGAGGTCCCAGAGGACAAAGGCTTTACTGCTCTATCCGGACCGTTTTGCCACGGAATCAAATTAATATAATAACTAATTGGAACCATGGTTCCGGCAAATTTAACTTAACAGTGCTGTTTATGTTAACGGGGATCATATTGTGTCAGTGCTCATCAAAATCCCAATTCGTTGGGACTGAGTGGTAAAATGAACGTGCGACTGATCAAAACGCTACTGGTTGCAATCCATTGCCTTAATGCACTTGCACAGCCGCCCATTGTAGGCTTTCCTCAGTTTCCGCATGACCATCAGCTTTTGGAGCATGTCCAAGAAGCCGCCAGCTTATGGGCTCAGTTCAAGGTACCAAACCCCCAAGAGAACTATTTAATTTCAATTGTTGTGGCCTTTACGGCTGTGTTTGGAAGATGTCTCACTTCAAGAGCCATTGGCTGTTCTAGATGAACCATTTGAAAAACTTCTCGCCTGAAGAAGACCAGCTCAGGTTCAACATCTTCAAGGACAACTTGCGAAGAATCGACGAGTTGCGACAACGGATCCAAAATGGGGAGATCCACTTCAATGTGGGGGTCACTCAGTTTGCTGACCTCACCAAAGAGGAATTCATCAACCGACATTTGAAGCTAAAACTTCCCGAGAGGCGATTGAAACGCGAAGCCCCCGGCGGAAATCGAACCAGGCGACAAGTCGCCGCTTTCATCGACTGGAGGGCGCAAGGGGCGGTCACTGCTATTAAACATCAAGGGAATTGCGCCTCCTGCTGGGCATTCAGTGCGGTGAGCAAAAACGCTTCCCCAAAATAATTGTCGGGGAAAAATCGCGATTCTTCCAGGTGGGTTCCATCGAATCCCAGTACTACTTAAAGCATGGAGTTTTGGTGTCCATTAGCGAGCAAAATCTCATCGATTGTGCGGTGGATCAGACAAACAATGGGTGCAATGGGGGATGGATGGCCAATGCCTTCCAATATCTCACCACTCATTCGATTACTGCCGAAAGTGAATATCCCTATGCAGGAATACAGCAGAGCTGCACCTTTGGCACCGCTAGACAATTCCAAGTATCCATTGCAGGTGAGTTTTATTGTTCGAGAAAAATGGGAACAGCGATGTTAAGGTGGAATTAGTTTTAACTTTTTCGAAATATTTCTAACATTTCTATTTCGGCAAAATAGTACTAAATTACCTATCTCCCTGCCAAAGAACGAATTTACTCGATGTTACCCCCGAAGTAGGCCTGGGTAACTCAATGAATTTTTAGGAGTTGGCGCAGTTCTACGCACATGGCTTGGTGCGCCAACCCACCGCACCGGCGCTGTAACTCAGCCCGTTGCAGGAAAAATGTTGACCACGTTTTTTTACTTGTTTTCAGATTTATTTTAGGAGCCATTTATCATTCATACTTTTAAAATTTCTTCAAAATTTCAGAATTTTCCGGTTTTAGCAAAGTTACTCTTTGTTCTCAAGAGAGATGCTCAATTTTCTAAAGGTTCACTTAAAAATACTGACAATTTTAAGGTATTTTTCACGAAAAATTATGAAATACATTTTATTAGAACACTCGCTTCCTTTTCGGAGTCGAATTCGGGACAAAAACGAAACTAAATTTATCCCGTTTTTTCCCGAAAACTGTTAAAGTTTTCGCAAAAACCGATCACTAAACTAAAATTTTTAAATCAAAAACGCAAAAAATATAATTTTCTGATGATTTTCTGTTTTCTGACAATAAGGGGCTCTTTACAGCCAAAAATGTCAAAATTCATTTAGCTAGAAAATTCGCCTCATTCATCGGTTTGCAGGAACTTTAGAAAACCCTTTTAAGCTTCGAATTTGGCACAAAATCCAAATAATTTTATTCAGTTTTTCACCGAAAGTAATTAAGATTATCTTGAAAAAACGACCAGAGAGCAAACGTTTACAAAAAATAATTTAGAAAATTCGCCGCCCTCATTGCTCTTAAGATTTTTAAAGTTTCTCTATAATTTCAGGTCATTCTAGTTTCAGCAAAGTTGTCTTAGGCAATTCTGTCTACGCAAAAACGCACTATTTTCTAGTTTTCCTTAAAAATACTGACAATCGTCAGTTATTTTCTGTGAAAATTATAAAATAAATTTTATTGGAACACTGTGCTCCTGAATAGCTTTGTAATTTTTTTCTGGAACCTTTTATAGCTTCGAATTTTGAACAAAACCCTAATAAATGTTTCTAGATTTTTCCCAAAAATATTTCCTCGAACAAGCGAAAATTTATAATCAATTTTTCGGAATTCTTTATTTTATCGCTGTGAATAATTTGGTTTCTTTAAATTCCCGTTTCTTCACTTTTAGGTCAATATTTCTAAACAAAACTATCCAAACAGAACAATGCGTTTTTTCCTAACGTTTTATTGTAAAATACTGGCAAAGTATCTTTGAAGTATCAAAGGAGAGTCTTTTATGCAAAAAAGTGAAAAGATGGATTTTACAAGAAAAGTCGTTGTCTTTACAGTTTGGTCTTTTTTATCGTCTGTTTCGAATACCCGTTTTACCTTTGAATCTGGGACAAAATCGAAACAAAGTAATCTTGTTTCTTTCGACAAAATTTCGATTTTCTCAAAAAACGACCAGAGAAAGCAAAATCGTATAATCAATATTTGGAAAACTCGTCATCCTCATCGCTCTGAAATTTTTTAAGTTTCTTCAAAATCTCCGAATTTTCTCGTTTTGGACCAAATAGTTTCAAGCAATCGAATGCGCAAAAGCAATATGTTGAGGGCTTTTTTTGTGAGATGCTAAAATTCTGTCACCGGCCATGAGTTATAACTCTTTAATCAATGAGTTAGAACTCATTAACTCAAAGAGTGGCAACAACTCAAAAGTGCGACATAGTGTTACTCAGGCCTAGCCCGCAGTTATCAAGTTTTTCGCTATCTATCTTTCAAACACTATCAGAGGAAAACATTGGTTGCACCGAAAAATTGCAAAAAATGATAAAACAGGCTCAAAAAAAAAGTATTAACGATCTTAAAAAATGACGTTAAAACGAGCCCCGAAACCAGCACTAATTTGCTCAAAACCATTTTTTCCAAACCGACTTTGCAGTGATTTTTTTAAGAATCAGAAACTCTCCTTGCTTATTTACTTACTCCTTTCTGCCGACGTCCAAAGTTCTCACTTTCTGGGGCTTCTGTGCACTATCCAGCATTTTCGTCGCACTTTTGCTTCAAAGACTAACAAACCATAAACCAGCCATAAAAAACGGCTCAGCGCAGTAGCTTTGCCATTGCCAACCACAGAACATTCCCAGGGTGGGTTGTTCTGTGCGGCCAACTGTTGACTAGCCGAACAAACACGATTCACCTCGAACAGCTGCGGCGGGAGTTTTAAATCTTTCCATCTTTCAGGTTATCAACTGCTCCAAGCTGATGAATTATCGCTGCAGCAGGCAGTGGCGACTATTGGACCAATTTCAGTTGCAATAGATGGTTCCAATTTGCAGTTCTACGCTGGGGGAGTTTTCCGGGATGACGATTGCATTCCAGGACGAGTAAATCACGGCGTCCTGGTCGTCGGTTATGGCATCGAAGCCGGCAGGGAATTCTGGCTGGTGAAAAACTCCTGGGGTTCTTCCTTTGGGGAAAACGGCTACTTTAAAATGATTAGAAACCGGGCCAACCAGTGCAACATCGCCTCATACGGAATGTACCCCATAATGTAGCTCTGTTCAATAAATACATATTTGCACTAGTAGCATTCAGTGTGAGTAAAACCAGACAATACTTAATATTCTATTAATGCTTTATCTACAACAACGCAAAGTCTTCAGGAGAATCTGAAGCGACGGTCCTTATAGGCCACTTCTCCTGCTCGATAAGAAGCCTCCGCTTTCGATCTAGACCGGTATACTAGGGTACCCATAATAACCATGGGGGCCACAAAAAAGAGGAGGCCCTGGACAACGTTTTTACCGCTGGGTTTAAAGTATTCATAGCGGCTGACCCCAAGGGCTTGATATCGCGTAAACGCTGGATCAAACTGCAATCAAACAACAGCAACTTAGAGATTCGCCACATAACGAGACAAGTTGAAAAATGGGCCTCACGAAACACGGAATAGACGCAAATACACTTACCACAGCACCACCTTCTCCAGCTGAGTGCTGAAATGGATCGGTAGACTGTTTCAAGAACTCGTTACGCAACTGAATTTTTCTTTGCAACTTCTCAATGGCCACACGCTGCGTCTGGGGATCAACACCATATTGCTGGGCCATGTTTTGGCTTAACTTTAACTACTCAACCCTTTCTAGGGCCTCTTTGCCCCAATTGCTCGGTTTGGAAAAAATACTTGTGTTTGTGTTGAACGCACACTGACAGACCATTGATAGACTTCATAGGTCGTAATCACAGATCACAGTCACACAACATCTGTGATCTGTGGTCGTAATCGATATGGCGGCGGAGGGCAGAAGAGTCGCGAATTTATTGAAAAACTTTCTCTGTGTGCAGACACTGCTTAGAATAAAAAAAACTCCAAATCAGAATTGGACTCAATGAAATTATTTGCTCAATAATTGGGAGGAGAAGACTGACGGTCACCAAAAACTTTCGGATTTTTGCCAACAACCGCCATCTTGCAACAATCAACCGTCAGTGTCACTCCATAGAGAAAGTAAAATAAGGATTTATTTTACTTACTCTATGTGTCACTCTCACTCTCAACAGCTGATGTTTTGATATTAAAAAGCCAAAGGGGCTCCACTTCAGACGAGCAGTTCCCCTCAGTAAGTGAGCAAGAAATTAACGGGAAATGACGCTCCTGAGCAAGATTAGACCCCTGCTGCGGTCCTGGACTGCCGGCCAGAAATTAGGTACGAACGTTATGTAACCTTTCCAGGTTAAAAGACTGCGACTAAAAAGGGCCACTTTTTAGCTGTGCAGAGGCAGATGTCCGAGCACCGGGTATTCCCGATGCAGCCCTCCAAATGGAATTGGACCATTTTCAAGGACATGTTTAACTTTTATTTGGTATTGGGGGCCATACCGTGCGCCCTTTTCACCATCTACATGAACCTGTTTGTGGGACCCGCCACTCTCACTCCGATTCCCGAAGGATATACTCCCAAGTACTGGGAATATTATAGAGTACGTTCCATTATTCCATTGGCTTCTTTTGCCATTACTAATGAAGTTTTCAGAATCCGATAACGCGTTTCCTGATTAGATACATACATCACTCTCCGCAGCAGGATTACGAGAAATTCCTCACTTATTTGCATGTGGAACAAGAGAAAATCATGCTCAGGTATTTCGGCTTAGAACCCACACTAAAGCACAAGAAATGGCTTGAATTCCTACTAATCAACTTTTCGCCGGTTGCAGGAAATTGGAAAATGAAATAATGAATAAGATGAAGGAACGCAATGACTATCAAGCGTACTACTATCAACCAATCGTCGCCAAGTACTACAGGGCCACCAGGGAATACAGTGAGCTAATCGAAAATTTGGATGATCCGTTGCCCAACGACCGTTAAAGCGGACATTTATGGCAAATTGAATCGTTTTTGGGTAGTGTTGTTTTCATTAAAATACTTTAGAATGATTGTCGGTGTTTTTTCACTCACAATTGTGTAGAATACAGAAAAACAGACACTAACTGCTGTATAAACCTGAACTTATTGATGGTTCCAGTGTCATTGATTGATTAATTAGCACGCAGTTCAGGCAAATTGAAACTGATTTAATTTCCAGATTATCACAGACAAAACTTCCACACGTGTGTATATTGCAGATACATGGAACGCGTTGCACTCTAGTAAACAATTAACTGAAAACTCTATCAGAAAATTTTACGCACCCTGAACTGATTAGATACAGGTTTTGTTTTTCATTTCACATTTCGACTGGTTTGAATTCTGGATCATGTTGGCGAACAACTGACTCTAAACTTCTAGGTATTTGCCCTACGTAGGCTATTTTGCTTTGGACAATCCGACTAGCACACAGACACCGAAGACTCATGTAGTCCAGCAGACAAATCTGGCCGAAATCGTACTTGTTGCTCAACAAAATCTGCAGCGCAGTGCAGCCCTTGCGATCAGGCTGATCAAGATGAGCGTCAAATTTCAGCAAAATGCTTAGCATTTTCGGGCAGTAGTTGTAGGGCATGGAGGCGATGTGCAAAGGCGTCAGTCCGTTATCGCTTCTTGCATTAACCGGTGCGCCGCACTGTAACATCAATTTAACCACGCTGTTGCTTGGAAATACCATTATGGGATCATCATCCCGGAAATAGCTGGATGTCACAGTGTTCAGCTTGGACACGCATAAGTGCAGTAGCGACTCGCCCGATAAGAAGCACCTGATGTTGTCTTTGATTAGCTCGCGCACCAACTTTCTAACTATTACCTGATTCGCATCCGTTTTAGCAGTTTCAATCATGAGGTGGATTAGATGAGCGATGCACCTAAATCATCCAACAGCTTAGGAGAACAATTGTACATTTTCTGCACGGCACTTACTTGATGACTTTCGAGTAATAATCCAGCTGTTTTTTGTGCTGCGGCCGGATAAGCAGAAGCGGACGCACCTCCACACTATTCTCCACCAATAGCTTGAAGGCTTGGACGATATCTTGAAACCTTTGCTCCATATTGTCAATTTTCATGAGGACTGAGCGATTGTTGAAGTCCAGCAGATGTTTAACCAGTGCTTGGGCACAAAAGCAGGTATCCGTGCAAATAACTGTGTCTTTTTGGATGCGCAACTCAAGAGCCCGCCGCCACAAGTCTGCACATCGCTGATACCGCAACACATCTGCAAAGGCAGCGCCTCGAAACATCAGCCGAAATATCGTGTCTTTATGTTGGGTTCCTAGGACTCGTTCTACGATTAGAAGGCTCTGTATTCGCAGCCTGTCTAAATCCATTTCCATTAGCTCCGCTTGTTTTTCGAACTCTTTTTCAAATCGATAACAGGATAGGGGAGGCATGGCTGGTTGCTTAGGTAGTAGACCATGCTGGTTTCTAATCTCCAATGCCCGCTTCCAGTGGTGCAGACAATAGGAGACGTCGTTGTGCTCATCAAAGAAGGTGCTGCCCATCAACTCGTGAGCGTTTGCGATTTTTTCCGGTGGATATGCCACGTTTTCGATAAGGTACTCGAAGATATCTCCAGCGCCCTTAAGGCACGTCAGTTGCAGGGCGTCATCCCCATGTCTAAACAAGTAGATAGACATGAAAATTAAGCAAAGCGAAGAAAAGCTTTTGGGAAATCGAAGACATTACTTGGATTTTGCGTTTAAGTCGGCTCCAAAAGCGATGAGCATCTTAGCAGTTTCCAGCCTATGCTCCTGAATGGCATAGTGAAGGGCGGTCTTGTTCTGGTTGTCCTTCGCTTTGACATTGGCCCCATTCTCTAGCAGGAACAGGCACAACTTGGCACTCTGCACCGAATTGATTAAGCACGTGCCCCCGTTATAGTTCGCTTTGTTAATTTCAGCTCCGTGTTTCACTAGAAACTTCACCACTTCGATATGGGTCATAAAGCAGGCCGATCTAATTGGAGTAGATCCACTATCCGACACAGCATTCACGTTCGCACCATGTTTCACGAGAATCTGTAGAACATTCAGATGGCCGGACACTGAAGCGCACCATAAAGGGGTAACTATATGAACGGAACGATCGTCCAGAACCTCATAGGTGCCCTCCTGTTCAATGTCAGCCCCACAAGCCGTTATTAGATACTCGACGATTTCGGGCTGCCCCTTTTGGCAGGCGAGAAACAGTGGCGAGCAATTGAATTTTCTGCGATTTACAATCTCCCTTCGAGTCTCCAGGGAGAACCACTCTATTCGGTTCCTGATGGCAAACGAAAGTCGCGCACTGGGGCCCGATCTACTCAAATCATCCACTAGGTCATGAAACAATTCGTCCTTTTCAATGGCGAGGCTCGACTTTACATGGTGCCACATAGTTGGGCAAAAACTGTGTTAACTCCAAAAATTGTTAAATGCCAAGGGATCAAAACTACCACGAAAAACCCCAATACCAAAACCAAGAAAGTTTGGTTAATGGATAAAAACTGCCTTAACATATTTGACATCAATTTCGCACTGTTGCCGCTTTACGCAAGATATCATCAACTCCCGTTGTTTGCTGTTGGCCTAGGTAACTCAATAACTTTTTAGGAGTTGGCCCAGTGCAACGCAAATTGCTTGGATCGCCAACCCAACGGCGCAGTAATTCAGTTCCGTTGCTGGCAAAATGTTGATGCTGATTGTTTCCAGTTTAGCAAAGTTACTCTTTTTTCTAAATGTTCAATTCGCTAAAGATTCACTTTTAAAAAATCTTAAGGTATTTTTCGCGAAAAATTATAAAATAAATTTTATTAGAACACTCGCCTCCTTCATCGGTTTGTGAAAAGTTTTGCAATCCCTTTCCAGCTTCGAATTTGGGACGAAAATAAAATAATTTTCTATCAAAAAACGAACTGAATAAGCAAGTTTATAATAAATTATTTGGAAAACTCGACATTTCCATTCCTCTGACGACTATAGAGTATGTTAAAAAAATGTGGTTTTTTAGTTTTGACTGATTTTTTTTGCGTTGCTTCCTACTCAAAAACACTCTATTTTGCAGTTTTACTTTAAAACACTGACGATCTGTGACGAAAATTACAATATATATTTACAGCTTTGTAGGAATTTTACAAAACATTTTTTGGGAGTCGAATTCGGGACGAAAACGAAAATAAATGTATCCTGATTTTCCCGAAAACTATTAAGGTTTTCGCAAAAACCGTTGTCTTCATCTATGAAGACTACTCTGGCAACACCGGCGACTTGTCAATGCCAGTTTTTAGGTTAACCGCGAATAACTACGGTTTGTTGATTTCCAATGATTTCCATCTTTATCTATGTCTTGAACTAATACCATCAAATTATAAGCTCCAAAAATGGAAAAAGGCCCTGAACATGACAACAAGCCGAAAGAGCCTGAAGCCGCTGCCTCAACCGAGAGCAAGGACATTTCATTTAAAAAACCCACCCTACTTATTGGCAAAGTGGGCCGTTTGCCTAAGAAAGTGGACTCTGTAGGCTTCTCGGGACCCCCCCAAAGCAGCCCTGTTGATTACGTACTGAACACAACCGAGGAAAACCCCAAGGACGAAAACAATATAAAGTCCAGTGACAAACGACTGAACCCCAAGTCCACCCAGGGAGGCCTAGAATGTAACTAGTGGTATTAGTTAAATGAAATTAATTTTGTATGTAAAACTTTGCCAGTGTTGATGCCAGTGCTTCCATACACCGAGCCTGCTTGGTCGGGCCTGCCTGAAACCACAGGCAAAAACTACGTACTGGAAGTCTTGAAAGAGGGTAAAATTATTGACTACATCGACCTGATGAAGAAACCATTTTGGGTCTTTGGAAGGATGACCAACTGCGACGTCTTAAAGGAGCACCCATCAGTGTCAAGGTTAGCAATAGAAACAAGCATTTGCTTGGTTGACTCGCCGCATTTTCTTCTAGATATCATGTGCTGCTCCAATATCGAAAAGACCCATCTGAAAGTGAGCCACAGGGCTTTTATTTGTACGATCTGAGCAGCACTCATGGCACGTTCGTCAATGGTAGAAATAAATTGAAACCCAAAACATACATGCGTTATCGGGTGAGTAATTTTTTTATGCCAATACATTCTAGTCTTCTTTGAGCTTCATAGAGCTGTAATTGCCCTGCTCTATGTTCTCCAGCATTGTTGATACATGGTCAAACGCCTCCTGGTAGCTCTGAATCACTCTTGAATGCTTGTCTTTATCAATTGAAACACGCTTTTGAATCTCTTCAATTTTGTTGCGAATATCTTCAACTTTCTCCGCTAGTTCTTCTTTAGTGCGTGGGGTTTCTACATAATCCGTTGAGGGACTCAACGTGCGATAGACTTCACCCACTTTGGCCTGATAGGAAAACTTGATGTTGTCAATGCCCTTCTTCATGCGATTGAGGCATTCTGAGCTGCTGTTTAATCTGAAAGCGCTAGAATAAATTAGCAAATTCTTTACCGAAGGCCGCACTTGACTTGCCTCTCCCGCAAGTCCTTGAACTGGGCTTGGATTTCTTGGTGTTTGCCGTCGGCCACCTTCCGAATTGATCGTGTTTTATCGAAGATTTGCTTTATATTTTCCAGAGCTTCTTTACTGACGTTTGCCTTCAAAACTTCTTCAGTTGCTTTGCTGAAATTGCACTGGCTTTCCACGCCCGGCAAAGCCCTGATCTCCTCCGAACATGCACTCTTAGTCTTGCCATTATTTTCGTCTTTTAAATGTATACTCGCCTCCATTTTGCCGGTTAATTTGCTGTTTGATCAATGCAGGTGGGCCATGTGTTTCGCGTTGGCACCAGCAAGCGACACTATATACTAACTGGTCCCGAAACTGATCAAGAAGAAGAATCTGAGCTTACAATCACTGAGCTCAAACAGTTAAAAGCGCAAAAACTGAAGGAAATTGAAGATCGATTGAAGCAACGAGAGATTGAAAGGCACCTGAAAATCAAACAGGAGGAAGACCGAGGAATCGATTGGGGAATGGGTAAGATCTCCGCTTTTTATACAGTGAAAGCTCCGATAAGGGGACAGTCACGGTTCCACAAAAAATGTTATGGGAGGTGTCCGCATAATAGAGATATGTATTTAATTAAAAAGAAATATTTATTTTCAGCTTCTTTATTGTTTACATATGTTTTATAACATTTTTCAACATAGAAACTTTTTGTGTCGGTTTATTAACATATTCTAAATGACTAGTTTGAATAATCCAATGCTGAAAATGGGTTTCAAGGTTTTTAAGATGTTGAAACGCAATAAAATCATCGCTTGAAAATATTTTTAAAAGGGAAATTGCATTTAAGGCACCATCATACAATTTTATGAGTGAAGCGTCAGGTACAATTGTCAACGTTTCTTTTGATTCGTCATCATCACTACTCATGGAAAGTTCAGTTTTGGAAAGGGCGGTGGTATCAGGATGAAACGTTTCCTCTTCAGTCTGCACCATGACGCATTGGTCCAGCTAATAATGACAAAAGCAGCTCATCTTCTGGATCAGAATCTTGTGAAATTTCTCCTTCTGTCTTCTTGAATCCAGCTTTTATAAAGCAATTCTTGACTATTGCAGAATTTACTTTATTCCATGCCGTCTATGAAATATGAAGCCTCTAATACATTAATGGACTTTAACAGTTCAGACACACTTGGAAGAGTTAATTTAAATTAACACATGTTTTAGAATAAGATCTCTATAATAACATTTGAACTTTTTAATGATGGTCCAGTGCTGACATATAGAAGTGGTGTTTGGGGGCAAAAATATAACTTTGACATTTTTCAGTTTCACCTCACGAGGATGGCATCCTGCGTTATCTAGAAATAAGAACACTCTTTTCTTCTGAATCCCCATTTTTCTATCGAACTGAAACAATCATTCTGACATAATATCTTGATTCATCCATGCTTTCTTGTTAGATTTCCAAATTGTTGGCAAATCTTGGATGGTAATATTTTTCAAAGCGAACGAGGGCGAGCTGATTTTCCTATGACTAATAAATCCTGTTTTTCACCAGCCATCGATGCGTAAAACAAAATGGTGAGTCTTTCTTTAGAGAACTTACCGCCGGTGCATTTCTCAGATTTGAATATTAAAGTTTTGTCTGGTAATGCACGAAAGAAATGTTTGGTCTCATCTGCGTTGAAAACGTCCTGCGGCTTGTAGCCAAGCAACATCCAGTATCCATGTAGCCAGCCAATCTAAACTTTTTTTTATCTATGTCAAGACCATCACTTTTTAGGAAACTCCTCTTTTGTCCTACATTGTCAGCACACTGCGATTTTGTTCTAATATCTTTTTTTTTGGTCATTTCTGCCGATCTTAAATCGCCTTGCTAGTTCTCGAACGGACACTGTTTCTTTATCTAAAGCATTTAATATTTCCATTTTTTCTTTTAAGGAAAGCATTTGCTTTTTCGGAGCCAGGTTCACAAACACTCTCTACATGTGCTGGAAACGTAATGGCCTCGATGAATAAAGTAAGTCAAGTCAAAACATCTTAAACGGGGAATTACGGAATATGTGAAGGCATTCCCCGACTGAAAATCGCTTATTTTTGCTAATGGTTTTATTCGCAGACCGAGTTTTACAGGTTCGTGTCCGCTTGTAAGAGCTTTTCAACTCCGTATGATCATATCATGTCCGCGTCCGTTTAATAGAATGTCCGCTTATAAGAAAGTGTTTTACATTGAAAACAATATGACGAAATTCGGTTCCAAGAAAAATGTCTGGTTAAGTCCGCAAGTAGAGCTTTCACTGTATGTTGTCACGACATTGATAACACCGAGGGATAGTCGGTACACTTCAAACGCAAAGGAAGCCGAATTTCCGGTATTTTGATCTAAATTTAATGAAATTAAAGGCGAAGAAGCAAACGATGAGGATGAAATAGCTGAAAACCCCTTTGCTTCCACTAACAATGAGGAGTTATACCTGGACGATCCAAAAAAAGCCTTGCGCGGGTTCTTCGAACGCGAAGGCTTGAACCTGGACTACGACTGCACTGAACAAGGTACCCGGATGTTTGGTTAGAAACTGCACATGTTAAACTCGTTTTGGGTCCAGGAATGGGTCAATTCCTATGCAAGGTGGAACTGCCCTTGGACGACGAAATGGGGCGGCCGCTAATGGCTGAAGTGCTGCATCGAGGCAAGAAAAAGGAGGCCGTTGTTCAATGCGCTTTAGAGGCCTGCCGCATTCTGGACCGAGCTGGCATTTTGAGACAGGCAACGCATGGTAACGGTTCGAAACCGCTCAATGGGTTTGATTTAGAACATTTTTCAACCGTTTAGAGTCCAGAAAGCGCAAAACCAAAGATTGGGAGGAAAACGACTTCTACGACAGCGACGAGGATACTTTTCTGGACCGCACGGGAACAATAGAGAAGAAGAGGGAGAAGAGGATGAAAGTTAAGCAGCCCGATAAGGCGCAGACCTACGAAAGCTTAGTGCGTAATCACTGATGGCAATTTGAATCAGTTTCTGTAATTGCAACTCACTCTAGGTGCAAAAGGAGAAGGACCTCACAGCGTCCATTGCGGATATAGAGAAAAAACTTGGCGAAGCCCAAATAAGTGCGGATGCATCCAGCGACAACAATACAGAGGAGGACTCATTGGACTCCTACATGAAGGGACTGAGCGACGATAAGCTGGACAAACAGACAGTATCCAAGCTCAAGCTGGAGTTAACCAACTTGCGGAAAGAGCGCGCGAACATAATCAGGTAGATCGACCCAGACTGACTTAGAACTTGACTCAGTTTAGCTTGGGACTTTCCAGATTGGCAAACTTGGCAAAGCCAGCGGACATGCCTTCATTTTCGCCTGCCGCTACTTCAACTACTGCTGATAACAAGGGCAAGAAGCTGCCGATCTTCGGCAAGAGGAAAATTGTCCCCGTCAAATATCCAGCAAAGGTCCATCAGCAGCCGCTCGAAGACACGCCAACGACTTCCGAAGGAGCGGAAGAGGAATCTGACGAGGAAACGGTGAGAATCGTTCACTTGGCTTTCTTAAAAATAAAATTTCTGGCAATTTCAGCAGACTGAAGCGGCGCCAACATCACCTGCAGAATCACCCGAAGACCTGGACGAACAAATGCCCATTCACTGTTTCCATAAATTGCAACAACTCAGATCATTAATCCCGGACGCATCAGGTATGCACAATTAACTGCCCGAAACAAGTTGGTTGAATGTGGTTTACAGGAAAATACAAGCCTGTATTCCTGAAAATATTGCACAAGTCGCATCGTATGGCCATCAGCCTGGGCCGAGCGGACAGCGACTGGAAAGTTTTATCCACAAAACTGAAAAAAATTATGAAATGGACAACGGAATTACAGCAAAATCAGTCCAACGGCAAGCGACAACACATGATTACCACAGAGCTCGGTCACATTTTGGCAGATCTAAATCATATGGAGGACGAGAAGTTCAAGGTACTTTGTTACTACTAGAGTAACTTGTTTATTCTCATTTGCGGTTGCAGACCTTCGACATGGCCAAAGGCTCTGGACACACCCTGAAAAACATCTCCATGCAAATAGACAAAGATCTCGAAGAGCTGAAGGAAAATAGCAGCGAAAACGCACCTGCAGCTGAATCGCGTCTAAGTGAAGAAATAAACGAACCTGACACGAGAGAAGAGGAGCCTGCAGATGATCAAGCGGATAAAAAGAAGAAAAAGAACCTGAAGAGAATTGAACACAGAACCCACCGAGCGGAGATGGAAAAGCAAAAAGGGTACGTGGAGGACGCTTCCAAAGAGGATTACAACATGTGGGTGCCACCTACTGATCAGAGTGGGGACGGTCGAACTAAACTAAACGAAAAGTTCGGGTATTAATTAGATCAATACATAACAATAAACTAAAAACCGTTGCCAATAATAACCAAATATTTTATTCATAAAACGAACCAAAATTCTAACGCAATATTTAAAGGAAGTTTGACTGGTGGACGAGGTCGCATCAACATATAATCAATTTCGTCTAATCACATATATAGTAACCTTATCAGCGTTGCTCTTTTAACCAATCTGGACTGGAATCGTCAAAAAAAAAACATTTTTTGATTTGAACATTCTATAAAATTAAACTATTTCTTCTGAAATATAAATAATTATGAGTAAAGTCGAGAGATATCTCCTCCAATTCACTTGGCCGGAGTACCGTCTGTTGGTGTCGCGGCGCTTTCGGTCTTAATAATCTTCCCAGTATCACCTGAAATGTAACATTCCTCATAAACTCCCCATCTAATATCAGCAGTTCGGCCTCTTACTTTCTGAGCCTTCAGGTTCGCCTCCTGAACGACGACGTTTTCGAGCCGATCTGTCTTTCTTAAATGATTTCTGTGGCAGCGGAAGCGCATCCATTCCCAAAACCTGGACAAAGACACATTCGTTTAGTAGCAGGATCGGGACAAGGATTGCTATCGGATAAAGGCCAGGTTCCAGCTTGTGATATCAGACTTTTGATTATAATCATGGCTCTTCAATAGTAGCAAATACAGTAAACATCATTCACAAACGGATAGTCTGGGTTAGTCGAATATGCAGGAAAATTGTGCAACTGGATCTCTTCAGGTAAAGTTCACACGGACAACTTCACATTGGATATAACTGTTAGCAGCTTCTTCGCAATATTCAACACGCACGCGAGTTTTGAAGAAACCTTTCACTTTCAAAATTACCAAAAGTATGACAGAAACAACTGTTTAAATCGTGGTACTTTGTGATTGCCTTTCAGAGCAACATTAAAGACAAATAGATAAGACATCTTCAACCGAACTACGAATACTCCAAATTTCAAAACCCCGCCTGTAGATACTAATTTTTACGGTCACTTCAAGATTGAACCCCAAAAAATCCATTACCAACCCCCTGATTGAACTTGAGAAAGGAAAAAGTTGAGATTACGTTTAAAAAACGCCGCTTTCGACCAAACGCATATCAGGGAAGTTCTTGTCATTTTAATGGTAGAATTCTATAAAAACCTCTTACCTTAAATATCTGCCTAAAAGCAATCAGGCGAAGAGCATATTGCGCAGAACAAGAAAGATCCTCACGCTGCTGAGCACTAAGAGCCCCCGAGGCGTCCGGGCCATCTTTCTCGCATGGATCGGCCAATCCAGGTCCACCTGGCAATAAAAGTCCTCCAGCCACAGCTTCCATAACACGGCGCAGTGCATCCCCTGGAGACAGTTGAACTTGACCAGGTGTTGATGAAAGTACTTTTTCCGCAAGCAATTCCATGGCCTAAAACCGCAAATTGATTGCAATGAAACACCGTTCAATCGTCCACATAATCCAAGTATTCTTAACATTTGCAATAATCAGAATGTTGTTCGCATCATGGCTCTTCAAGAGTAGCAAATACTTAAATCAAAACATCATGTTGGAGTGCTGTTCACACTAATAATCTATTTACTGAAGAAATATATGAACTTACCCACGAGCTAAGAGGTGACCAGGTTGGCACTCGCTGACACAAATCTCTCAATATCCTGATAATAATCACACAGGAGTGTAATCCCAAAGCTCTAGCCTGTAAGTACCAGAATTGTTAGTGTTTTCCCGAAAAATTGCTAGACGTGTTTGATAAAGGTTCCACGAAAACAAAAAAATAAAAAAAAAAACGTTAACCGTTAACAGTTGACAAAATGGCATGTTGAAGAGAAGTTCGACTTCGAATGGGCCAAATTTTCATTTATGTGGAACCCTTTGGAAGATTAAATAGAGCGTGATTGAGATGTGAAGTTTTTCTTCAGCGCTGTTGTATAAGGAAAGTGACTGAACTAAAAAGAAAAAGGAATTCAAGTGAGAGTTTCAATGCCAACTTAGCAACAGATTAAAACAGTTTTGATTTCCCTGCTGAAGAAGGGTTGATTGTAATGGCGAAAAACCCACATCATCATCAGGTTTTTTGGGGGATTTTGAATAGAACATGCAATCGACCTGTGATTGCTTAGCCTTCAATATCCCATACGAACTACAATATCTTTTCTCCATGGGTACAGGTTATTATTAATTTCAAGAAGGCGCGTAGTCGCCAGTTGATTTTCTCTGAGTAAAACAACAAAAAATTCAGAACGGTGAGAAAAAAGTGAACATCAAGAACAAACCTGGAACCATTTGGTATGTCTGAGCGCTGCCAGCGCCTGGAGACACTTTCCTCTCGAGAGTACATCCCGGTCCGACCCGCCGCTTGCAGCTTCTAGACACAATGAAGGGTGTTTGACCATTACGCCCCTAGAACTTTAAGCACGGCCCAGCGCTAGAGGCGAGTGCCACAAAACCGAAAAACCCGCTTTAACTACTACCAACGTTAAGGTTTGTTTGGACACCCGTCCCCTATAAGCAATCTGGGCTGGGCTTAGTCGAGGGGCGCGAATTATGATCAAAAATCCTTATCCCACAACCGTAGCTGATGGATTCTAGAAAACGGGACATTTAAGCACAGTACGCACTAGTGACATAAGTATTGGACTGTATTAACAATACCTGTGGGGCGCTTTGCGAACATGCTTTAACAATATCATTTGAATAAAAAATCCCCGATGCAATAGAATTATGCGGACTAAGAATGTTCGCAAACACACCCCCGCATCTAAAACAGACAGTAAAATCAGACAATTGTCTGTTGTAGGTCGTGTGTCTTCAGCCTAGAAAAGTCCAATATTTATTAGCAATTCAAGGTTTAAGCTGTCTATACGCTACAGTATTAAAAAACCACTGCTCACAAAAAAATAAATCTGCAACAACTGATGTTGATCACACCAAATAAACACTTGGCAGCCACATGGAAATCTGCTTTTCATTCAGCTTAAACCTCGCGGTACTGCCCGCTTATTCCGCAATGAATTTGAGAGCAAAAAAGCATAAACCGAACCAAACTGAACAAGCGATTTTTGTCTCTCAAAGTCATCGCGACCATTCCTCGTTCTTTCACGCGATGTCGAGTTGCCGTTCATTTCGCCTTACCACAGATTAGTCTACAAACTTACCTTGCTCGCGCATCACAGGACTCGTCAGTTGAACTAAAACTGTCAGTCCTTCTGCTTGAATAGTCAACCCGGCTTCAGCAGGGTTAATAACTACTTGGTACGCAGCATCTGGAGCTACCTAAATAACACAAAATAATTCGTTTATTGTTATTGATTCACCAATGTGATGAGTAGAACTACCTGCTTGAAAGCAGCGGGCAATAATTCAACGACTTTCTTTAAGAGAGTTAAAGTTGGTTTGTCGGCACATAACACCACCAGTTCGACTTGGTTGTCCCCTTTCAACAGAAGACCTTTGGCTAGGTGCCCCACTCGCATCACTCCTCTCAGCATTCTGGAGGCATCCTGCTCTTTTTGGAAAGAGAATCTAGAAAAGAAACTCACTCAACAAAGGACTTTTTGGGACATAGCCAGTAAACTTACAATTGGTTATCGCGTCCGTCTTCTTTCTGGGGCTGATCCACTGCTTTGTCTTTGTTTGCATCGCCCTCGCTAGGTTTAGCTTCAGCTAATTGGTCGGAGACCTGTTTTAATGCCCGCTCGGAATGCGACACAATGCGTTGAACCACTTGCAACTCCTCTTCTTTTGGATATATTTCTGCATGTTTAGCCATGACATGACGGTCGTCACTAGATTCCGGTCTTCTGGTTCCCGGACCAGGGAAAAACTAAGGAAAATAGAATGTCAGCCAACATTCACGATAGGTATTTAAAATTACTTACCGGTGGACCACCAGGGAATGGCCGGCCTCTGGGTGGAAACGGACCGCCGCTTCTACTAACCATATCCATATATTCTTCATAACGACGTCGGTCTTCCCAATAGATGGATTCTGGAAAATCAACAATTTCCATATGGCCCTCAGCGCTAAAATTAGCCCTCCTACCTTCATCGTCCATGTTGAAACCATGCCGACGCGCCCAAAATTCCTCTCGCATTGCCTGGAAAGAAGTATATTGGTTAGATGCGAAACAACCAAACTACGACTTAACTGGAGTGTACGAACTAGCAAAACTCTCAACAGCTTGAATCTTAAGGCATAGAGAGGTGAATTAATTCGATTTCTTTGCGACAACCTTAAAATTTTGATAAACACAGAGAAAGTCTGACAAAAGGAACAATTGTCGCGCAGCAAAGAAGGTGCAAAACAAAACCTATGACGCCTTAGCCTAAACCGCTCATCCGAACAAACAAGCGCCTGAAACAGAAAGCTGAATAGACGGAAAACAGGACCAAATCGCGAACAACACCTATTTTGTTGCACCCCCTTTACTTTCTATTAGATTTAAAGTTACTTACAGCCCTACGCATTTTCTCTTCCTGAATCTTCTTTTGCCTGAGACTTGGCTTGACGTCCACTACTAAATCAGGATTCACTTTTTTCTTGTACTGTAATCTATGTCTTCGCCCTTTCATGTGCATTTCTTTAGCGTTTGGATCATTGAATCGGCATTCACATAACTTACAGTTGAAACTCATGACCTAAGACATATGAATGTGCGTTGAATTAAGGCTTTTTTTTTAAGTATGCAGGTGTTCAGAACATCGGGCTAAAGAATTGCCTAATTTTTAAAAGACCTAATAATGCGTTATGCCTGAAGGGTAAACAAAGCCGTTTAAAAATTAGCCGGCTTCTATTGATGCCTAGGCACATTGTGCTAATGAAGTCTTGGAGGAATACCTTTCCATCTTCGCTTTTAATTTCCTCAATATAATCCTGACCAACTGGTTGAATATCTGGTTCGGGCGTATCTTCGGGCTCTTCATCTTTCATTTCTCCGTTACTTCCCTGGAATAGGTTAAAGACTCTAGTCAGACAGCGATTATCTGCTAGCAAAGGGGGTGTCAACCAAAAAAAAGCTTTCCTTCAACAACGCTCGACACGAACACGCCTCAACAATAATCGCGCTCCCTCAAATAATTGGCCTTGCGACGACACATTTTTGGTGTACACCTCCTTTAAGTTTACGATTTTCCTGATAACTTGGGAGGATTATTTCGAAATAAAACGGGCAAGAACAGCCAAAAGATTTGTTTCGCGTTCGTACAAGACCCGGACTTTTCAAATTGGAATGACGCGAAATGCTGGACCTAGAGAAGAAAATTGGCCTTACCTGGCTGGGTCCTGTCATGCCTAAACCACCCGATTGCACAAAGTTGATTTTTGGTGCGCTGGCGATTGACTTCTTCACACCGCCAATAACTTCAGGTTCTTGAGGAGGAATAGGCTTGCCTAACTTGGTGTGAAGCAGTACAACCTATACAAAAAACTTGCAATCAAACTGCGATTAGTAGGAGAATTTACGTACTTTTTGATGTTTGGCCCCTCGAATGTGAGCGGCGTAAGCGTCGTTTCCTGTGCAAGTTACATCACATAACTGACAACGCAATGAATTTCCAGATCGATTCGCATTTGTTGTTGCGACGCTGGCTGCCATTTTGGTGGCAGCTTCGCGCTTCTTATGCTTCTGCCCTTCTAAATGCTCCCGGTAAGTCTGGGGCCCAGCGCAGCTAGAGACGCAAATTTTTCAAAGTAGAGGAATTTTTTTTTTTTTTGCTAGCATACCTAATTTTGCAGACATCACAGTAGTGTAATTGTTGTGGCTTAGGAGGCGCTTTGGGCCTCTGACCTTTATTGCCTCCCGCTCCGCCCCTTTTAAACCCCTGCCAATTGGCTGACTTCTGAGCGGCAGCAACTCCGGCAACTTGAGACGCCGCTGCGACATTTTGCGCGACGCCTCCTTGCTGCTGCTGAGCAACATACATTGTTGCGGCCGAGTAAAGGGCCGCGTCGTACCCCGAATACGTTCCGCTGTTTGCTACAAAATTTACAAACATCGATTTTTGCATAAGGGTGGTAATAATAGTTTATATTTACGTTTTGCCTGGGTTGTAGGTTGGGCGGCTATTGTTGTTTGGGCGGTTGGCTGTCCGTATGTGGCCTGGTAAGCAGAGGCGTTGGGTTGATAAGCTGCTGCGTATTGAGCTGGTTTTGCGGCTGCAGTCTAAACAAACCCGTATTGATAAGCCCCCCATGTACAGAGCAGAGTTCGTAATTAAAGAGTGTTCGAACCTGAGTTAGGCTGTTTTAGAGAAACAGTCTGATTATATACAGGTTCTTTGCTGTTGCAAGGTGTCTGATCACAAGCGGTATTTAGGACTGCTCATGTAATTCTCCTTGCATAGTTAAGTAAAAAGTAACTTACTGCTTGAGCCTGTTGACTGGCTCTCTGAGAGGCGTAGGTGGTGGCGTAAGTCGCAGGCTTACCAGCCCCGGACTGGTCGTAGCCAGGCGTGTAAGTCGCCGCCGCTGTTTGTCCGTAACCGTACTCGTATGCTGGTGTACCCCCAGTACCAACTGCAGCATAAGTTCCCTGAAACACCTACAGACTTGCCAATGTGGATTCGAGCAACAACTTAGCAAATATGATATTTAATTTTGGACGGCGGCCAGCATCCGGTCCACTTTTGCGTTTGAACAAATTAGACGAGGGGGCTTACCTGACCAGGGGCTCCCGCTTGGTAAGCGGCGTCGTATCCGGCAGCTCTTTGCGTTCCGTAAGTGGCGGCCGCTGCAGATGCAGGAGACGCGGCTACTGCATAGGGCTGACCCGCTTGGTAAGCGGCTCCAGTTGTAGCGCTAGAAAATGGAATACTGCTATTCTGAAGTTATTTCTTTCGACTGTGACACTGGAGTAAGTAAAAGCGATATATGGCTTTCCCAAGGGGCCAAATCAATTCAGTGACAGATTAGCGGGGCGAAGACAACCCTCTGGAGGAGGACTTCGAAACTATACTTCATGGGAGGAATTGCCTGCTTTAATTAATTAACTTTAATTAAAAACGCACACGATGAGAATGAGGAAACGGGTTGAAGAACGGTAACTGCTCAGGCGAAATGACGACTGCTCGATTAGAAACTTACCCGAAAATTTGGCTGGAATCGAGTCTGGGGGCACACGAGATAGACTAGATTGTTGCAATGAGCGGACCTGCACCCTTTTCGCTACAAGCGGCTGAAATGTTGGCTAATAAACCGGGATTTTGGCGTGAACAACCACACGTGCCCCGCTACAGAGTCTGGAACCGGCGGACAAAATGGCGGAACGACGGCTTCGCCTTGACATTGTTGCCAGCAATTTTCTCCAAGTGAGTCACTAGATTTACTTGGTGAAATTTTTGCGCAAAGTTATGCAATTTCCATAATATTGTCTATATTCCGACTGAAGAGAACCGTGCAATAACGCTAAAAGCAGGTCTTTTCTCTGTGCCAAGTGCAGGATTTTGACGGAAACTCAACCAAGAAACTGTAAACACGGCAACATTGAACACGTTATCGATCAAGCCTGGTGAAATGCCGGTGCCGTTTGTTCAAGGACACACATTTGGCCCTACTCAAACCAGCTTTTTTCAGCTTCCTCACAACATCCACCATGCCCTCAATGCGTTCAATTGCAGCAGGATGTAAACGGAATTCGATTAGTTCTATTTAACTCACCTATATTGAGTTCCACCATGTGTAAAACCGAAATAATTATTCGTGGCCATGATACACACACACACACACCGCTGACAAACTGAATGCAATTGGCGCACTCAAGCGGCCGGCCTCGGCAACTGGCCGACACCGATCGGATATGGGCGTAGTGTCAAATTTGAATTTTTTGCCGCCAAAATAGCACTTTTACTTCAACCGGGTGAGTTTCTATTCAAAAAGTGACTAACTGAATAATTTCCTTGTATACAGTAGGCTGTAGTTGAGACACCCAGTCGCCCTTGATAATAAAAATTCCTTTAAATCGTTCAACTTTTTTCCTGTGAATCAACTGTGGGCACTGGGGAACAGTATATACAGGGTGGTGGCTTCTGATGAGTTGCGCCGCCCTTTTTTATGGCAATTCTTGGAAAACTCCTCATCGAGTTGAGCCTCAAATATGAATATTTTTGGTAAAAAACTCACATTTGCCTCCGTCTATGGCTAGTAGGAGCACATATGGGCCTAGCTGAAGCCAATTACATGGATAGGGGTGTTAATTAGCGATTTGCTGCTGTTTAGAATGATGCGGTCGGGCGCTACCTGCTACCATGCAGTGGCGGCGCAGCCCTGGCCCCTCTATGGCTTGGCTTAGAGCGCAAATGAACGCTCCTGCCGTTTTCCTGCAGCGGCTGGACATAAATATCGGCTGAAATTCGGAGATGTCCGCCCCTGGTGATGCTGTGTTATGGCCATTGTGTGTATCTCTTGGATGCGTGCCCGTTGATATCAGTCATAAAATCTGTGCTCTGTAGGAGGCAGCGCGATAGAACAGCGGCGAAACCCGGTTTTCACGCGACCCCGAACTTTCAGCAGCCCGTTTTGGTGCTCATTTTTCGGCAATTTTCGCTCTCAGTTTTTCCCCCAAGTGTAGGTGACCGGAAGGGTGGCAGGTAGGCAACTGCGCTGGTGTTCCAGTTAATTGCACAAACTGCAGCAATCGACAGGAAAAGAGAATATCGACATTACTCGCGTTTTTTTATTGGGAGATCAGTCGCGGTTCTTTCACAGGTTTACTTTCAAAAGTACAAATGGTTTCTTTGGAAAATTCGCTCACGCAGATTTTTGGCGCTTTAATTTAAGGAAACCTCGGGTCTTTCCCTTATCCTGTACCCCCAGTGGATATTTATTAACTGATTCATGTACCTACCATAAACTTTTCAGTGAGGCACCCTGTATGATAGGACAGGGGGATGGCTGATGATCTTTGAGGCCTCAAACTTAAAATATTTTCATAATCATCGATGTTATAAAGGAAATATTGGTTTTTTTTGAGGCCCTACAGCAGGGTTTTCCAAACTGTTTTGATAATCGAACATTTCGCAAACCAAGAAATTTTATCGAAACACTTAATTTATTTTCAAGTTGATTTCTATTGAACTCTATTTTAACATTTTCATCGTTAGCGTCCCTGGCTTATGTATGAAGTTTGGCGGGTTTGGGACGGTGAACAGAAACTCTTTATTTTCTTGAACAAGCCTACGTTTCGACTATATCTTTAGCCTTCCTCATGCACTGAGAAGAATAAATACTGGTATGAAGTTTGGCGGGGTTGAGACGGTGAACAGAAACTCTTTATTTTCTTGAACAAGCCTACGTTTTGACTATATCTTTAGTCTTCCTCATGCACAGAGAAGACTAAATATATAGTCGAAACGTAGGCTTTTTCAAGAAAATAAAGAGTTTCTGTTCACCGTTCCAAACCCGCCAAACTTCATACCAGTATTTATTTGAACACCTTAAAACAAGAACTTTCCATGCTCCTTAGAAAACGCCTTTCGAACGAGCAACACCTTATAAAAGCAGAACGTAAAGTCAATATTTTCTATTGGTCAGCAGTATGCCCCGATTAATCACCTATTGATTGTAGTTGGTGCTCGAATCAACCAATCGCCCACAAACTGGTACATAACAAGGAAAAAGGTATGTGTGAAAAGGTATGAATCGCTTCGAATATACGCCCACTGAACCCGCAAATATACCGATAGTCCGCGGAAATTCGGGTTTTTTTTGACCAAAACATCTGCAAATGTAATCAAGTGGGAAATCTTTGAAATCAGGATAACAACAATATAATATAACAAGTACCCAAATTCGTGTTTAAAAAATTGAAGAAGCTGTCGATTGGTATCTCATAAACTATAAGTGCTATTTTATTAAATTTAAACTGGATACGTAGAGTTTCCAGAAATGGCAAAATGTAGTGTTGCAACCCTTAGTTTTCGATTTATTTGCAAGAACATTGTTCGTTCATTGCCGATTTTTCCCAAATCGAGAGTACTGTCTGGCTATATTAAGTCCAATTTAAGTAAGTGAAATCAAATTTCTGTTACGGTTTAGAAGAGAGCAATAGCGTAACAATTGGACCACCCCGTATATGCCAGAAAAGATGGAACATTCTGGCATGTTTCTACCTTCAGCGTGCTTCTATGAAGAAAAAATGGTGTAGAATTTGAGGTATTTTGTGCGAATTTATCGTTATCTTTGGCGTTTTTTGAGCTCTATATATTGTTTCCAATCGATGCAATCCTACAGTCTTCACATATGCAGGGTGTCAAAATAATTCGATATCGTCGTTTAGAAATTTTCTTCCGGCCTTATCTGCCAAGTTTTAGCGAGAATGCCCACATTTTTCCGGACACCCTGTATAAGCAAGCAATATTTCAAATCAGAATATTGAAGATTTTGCTATAATCAACGAATTCTTTTACACCCGGGAAATATTAAGAATCAAATTTCCACTTTAAGTGCCTTGACTCGCGAAAAAATCTTCGATTCTTCTTACGGCAATTTCAATTTTTCCTCACGACCGAGACCGATAAAATTGTGCGTGTATAATTCCGGCTCCTTACTGTCATATTAGAGTCAATTTATATAATACAATATGTTTGAGCAGAGGCCGGTAGGTTGGTAAGCCAATTTTGGGTCAACGATTTAAAAGAATTAACTGGAAATAATGGCTTTAAGTGCCTTTTCTGTTTGCTGATCCATTTACCAGCCCATACTCCAAAGCGGAAGTCGGTTGAAGGCGATTAAACAAACTTTGAAGGCCTTTTATCCATTCGAAAAATCCATGTGAGACTGCAGAACATGCCCTGCCTCGTTGGGACGCACACGAAAGTTTCTTGGAGTTCAAAATTTTCTAGTGTTTGAAACACGACCACTGGCTGAAACATCCGCCTAGAAAAACATTCATAGGACACTCGGAAATTCCGATTTTCACTAGATTTGGCAATGAGGATTCAAATGGAAATCTCTATGGTGCAGATTGGTTCGCCCAAAACGGCTTGTTGTCAACCGCCAAGTCGGTTCCCATGGAAACGCGGGCGAGGGCCTGCAGCCATTGGGCCGGACCGCTTGTCATTTTAAACTCACGTGGTGCAAAATGGTCATTGACCGTCCGCACCATTTTTTGCCGAATAAATTCCACTTTTTTGGACTTTAAGTGTAATTTCCATTTTTAGACGATACTGCAACCGTTTTTCTTCGGGAACACGAAGCAAACAACGCAAAATGATAAATAACGCTATCAGTTTATAAACAAATTGGCCATCAATGAAAAATAAAGCTTGGCTTATCAGCCAGCAACAGGCAGTCCAGTCGATCTTCGTGTGGGGAACACTGTCTTCCCGCATCATGTAAACACTATTCTCCATCGGCCACTTTCTCATTGAAAAGTGTTGAGTTAACTGTGTTGAAATGGGAGCTTACGTGGCGACTATTAGTGTGCTGGCCAGTGTTTTAATCGTAACAACGTTGCAGCACGCCGACTTGAACACTAGCCATAGCAAATATAGTGTGGACCAGCTGTTGAACAGTGTGTTTCCGACAAAAGTGTCCAGCGACATCGATCTCGACCCATGCAAAGCGGGTGAGTATGAAAAACGCCAATATTCATGTATTAATTCGCGCCATAATGTTGCGATTTGGGTCACAGTTCAAAGTGAATACGCATCGTTATTTTTCGATGCAAGCAAGCGTCTAATTAATGCAACATTAATTGAATCGAGATGCTTCATCGGGACAATAACCCTGAGAAAACTGGCGTTGATGCGCCACTGACCGATCTACAATGGCTCTTAGTATGCAGCCATTGGCGCAGCTAGAAAAAAATCCTCAGGTTTCAATCAAAAGCCGAATATCCTGATGCTAATTAAGGAGGCAATGGAAATTTGCGCCCTTTCTTGGCTGTGCCCCTTTGTCGAGTTGAGGGCTTAGGGCTGCACCATTAAACTTCTGGAATTAGCCCTAATCTTTACAAATCACAAGTTGCCATGGGGGCGGCGAGTGACACCAGATTGGATTATTAATTTTAAACTACTTATCCCCCCATTAAGCCAGTGGCGGCGGCACCACCGCCCCATTGCGCTAACCAACCCCCACAATGCAACATAATGCAGCACGCATCCAGATTAATTAATCCAGATAAATGGAATTTGGAATCAAATGGAACTGACCGAAATAATTAAGAATTATTGTTTAACCGCTCGGTGCATGGAAATTTACTGTTTTGTTTACGCGCTGCATTAATTTCGGCGATTTAATGAGACTGGAAATTGCTTTCCAGGCAACTTTCAAGGGGACATTGCACTGGCTGAGGAGAACCTGACGAAGGACGGCAAACAGTCCCAACTTCAGGAGGAAGTCGAGCAGCACAAGCAAGAGGTAAAAACCACAAAACTTGCAGGGACACTAGGCCTGGGTAACACTGTGTTGAGTTGCGCTTTTGAGTTGTTGCCGCTCTTTGAGTTAAGGAGTTTTCACTCATTGGTTAATGAGTTATAACTTATGGCTGGTGACGGAATTTTAACATCTAACACAGAAACGCCGTCAACATGTTGCTTTTGCGCGTACGATTGCTTCAAACTATTTGATCCAAAACGGGAAAATGCGGAGATTTTGAAGAAACTTTAAAACATTTCAGAGCGATGAGGAAGGCGAGTTTTCCAAATATTAATTACATATACGCTTTCGCTTTTTCTGGTCGTTTTTTTGAGAAAGCATAAATTTCGTCGAAAAAACAAGATAACTGTTTCGATTTGGTCCCAGATTCAAAGGTAAAACGGGTATTCGAAAACGACGATAAAGAAGAACAAAAACGACTTTTCTTGTAAAATCCATCCTTTAACTTTTTTGCATACAAGACTCAGTTTGCCAGTATTTTACAGTAAACCGTTAAGAAAAAACGCGTTGTTCTGTTTAGAGAGAGTTTTGTTTAGAAATATTCACCTAAAAGTGAAGAAACCGGAATTTAAATAAACCAAATTATTCACAGCGACCAAAGTGACGAGTTTTCCGAATAATTGATAATAAACTTTCACTTGTTCTCTTCGGGGAAATATTTTTGGGAAAAAATCCGTAAAAAAATATTAGTGTTTTGCCCAAAATTCGAAGCTGCAAAAGGTCCCAGAAAAAAATTACAAAGCTGTTCAGGAGCCGAGTGTTTCAATAAAATGTAAGTATTTTATAATTTTCCTAGAAAATACCTGAATACTGTCAGTATTTTAAGAAAAACTAAAAATAATACGTTCTTTTGCGTGGAATGAATTGCTTAATAGAAACTTTGCTAAAACTGGGAAAGACCTGAAATTTAAAAATCTTCAGAGCAATGAGGGCGGCGAATTTTCCTAATTATTTTTTGTAAACTTTTGCTCTGGTCGTTTTTTCAAGATTATCTTAATTACTTTCGGTGAATAACTGAATAAAATTATTTGGTTTTTGTGCCAAATTCGCGCAAAGGGTTTTCTAAAGTTCCCTACAAACTGATGAATGAAAACTTATATTTTTTGCGTTTGTGAATTAAAACTAACAGTTTTGTGATCGGGTTTTGCGAAAACCTTAATAGATTTCGGTAAAAAACGGGATAAATTTATTTTCGATTTTGTTCCGAATTCGACTCCGAAAAAGTTTCGTAAAATTCCTACAAAGTTATAAATAATCTTGTAATTTTTCGCTTTTTTGTAACTCTTCAAAATAGAGCTTTTTTGAGTGGAACGCAAAGCAAAAAAAATCAGTCAAAACTAAAAAATCAATTTTTTTTAACAAAATGACGAATGACGAATTTTCCAAATAATTTATTATTATATAACTTTCGCTTATTCAGTTACCTTAAAAATGTCAGTATACAATACCTTAAAATACTTTTATATTATTTATTAATAAATAATAAATATTTTATTATCAACTTACGCTTATCCAGTTACCTTAAAAATGTCAGTATTCAATACCTTAAAATTGACAGCATTGACAGTATTTTTATGTGAATCTTTAGAAAATTGAGCATTTAGAAAAAAGAGTAACTTCGCCAAAACTGGAAAATTCTGAAATTTTGAAGAAATGTTACTAATATTATCGATAAATGACCCTTAAAATAAATCTCAAAACCAGTAAAAAAGTCATCAACCTTTTCCCAGCAACGGAACTGAGTTAATGCGTCGGTGCGTTGGGTTGGCGCACAAACCATTTGCGTAGCACTGCGCCAACTACTAAAAATTCATTGGGTTACCCAGGCTTAAGAGAAACCTTTGCTAGAGCTTCGAGTTGTTCAGGTACTGGAGGGGCTGCAAATTGAGGAAGAAGGCCTGACAGACTTATTTCGCAAAAAGCTCAAGCACCCCAATGACCGGCTCTCGTCTAGAAACGACAACGATCCTACGGAGTATGTTGCGATATTGGAGACAGTGCGTAAAAGCGGGCAGGTCTTGAAAAGTGCCCCTGTTAAGTCAGTGAAAAACGACAATGAGGCGCATCGGCGCAAGAAGCGGCATCAGCGTCGACGCTCCAAAAGGAGGAAAAAGTCCAGGTAACTGGAAAAAACTCATGTTTTGCGGGTCTCAACGCCAACTTGCAGGATGGTGGAGGATTTGTTTCAAGAGACGCCAGCGCACCAGTTTGAGCCCCATTTCGATCTGAAGAGAAAACGAACGGATGAAGGGCGGCCCTTAAACAGAGTGTCGAGGGCGGCGACCGCCCGCAAAGAGCGTGTGTGGGACTATGGCGTGATCCCATATGAAATTGACGGGAATTTCAGCGGAATGCACAAGGCGCTCTTCAAACAGGCGATGAAGCATTGGGAGAACTTCACCTGTGTGAAGTTCGTCGAGCGCAACCGGGATGAGCACCAGAACTACATCATCTTCACTGAACGGCCCTGTGGGTAAGTTGGAGACGTTTCCCCACAGGGACTGGCTGCACATCCGGACATTCCCCATGGGTTTTAGGTGCTGTTCTTTCGTGGGGAAGCGTGGAAATGGAGGCCAGGCGATCAGCATTGGGAAAAATTGCGACAAATTCGGCATAGTGGTGCACGAGTTGGGACATGTGGTGGGTTTCTGGCACGAGCACACTCGCCCAGACCGCGACAACCACGTGAACATCCTTCGGGAGAGTATCATGAGCGGTAAGCTTCCGTGTGTCCCAATATGAGCCCCATTCGTTCCTCTGGGAGATTCAGATGGGAACCCTTTCCGGTGCTTGTTCCAGGGCAAGAGTACAACTTTAATAAGCTGAACGATGAGGAGGTGAACTCGCTGGGACTCACCTACGACTACGACTCCATAATGCATTATGCCAGGAATACCTTTTCCAAAGGAACTTATCTGGATACGATCCAGCCGGTTGACATGCCTGGCCGCAAGCGGCCGGAAATTGGGCAGAGAGTGCGGCTGAGTGAGGGCGATATTGCCCAGACTAATCTCCTTTATAAATGTCCCAGTAAGTCCAAGCAGCTAAGACTCTGTGTGAAGATGGGACAGAGGTACAGTTCTAAATCGGGGCAACTTTTCCAGAGTGCGGAAGGACCTTCCAGCAAAACGCCGCCACTTTTTCTCCTCCTCTGTATCATAGCGACAAAGTTCCAGAGCAAGGAGTGCGCTGCGAGTGGAGAATCACCTCCACCCATGGGGAGAAGATCGTCCTCAATATCACTGGCCTGGATATCGGGAAATCTCCCGACTGCAAGGAGGACTATGTGGAGGTAATTCTGCCCAACACGTTCGGTGGTCTCCTGAATTTTGAAAATTTTGTCAGGTTCGAGATGGGTACTGGCACAAATCGACCGTTCTGGGAGTTTTCTGCGGCACTGGCCAGGTGCCCTCCATCACATCCACTGGAAGCCGCATGTTGGTCACTTATGTGGCGAAGCGGCCCAAAGGCCACCGCGGTTTCACTGCCAGTTATGAAGGTACCGCAAACGCCATTCAGTGGACAGACAAGCAAACTGTACTCTTTCTCCTCATTGCAGCCATATGTGGAGGCGACCTCTACATCGACTGGGAGGGCCATTTGGAGTCTCCCAACTATCCGGAGGAGTATCAGCCGAGCAAGGAGTGCATTTGGAGAATAACCGTGCCCGAGAACTATCAGGTGGCGCTCAAGTTCCAGAGCTTCGATGTGGAGAATCACGATAATTGCGTGTACGACTATGTGGAGATTCGCAATGGGATCACCCTGGACTCCCCCATTATCAAAGGTGTGTTTCAAATCAAATTTTGCTTCATTCCGCAACTCTGCTTCTTCAGTACATTGCGGCAACAAAGTGCCCAGCGACGTGATCTCCACCTCCAATCACATGTTGGTAAAGTTTGTCTCCGACGGTTCGATGCAAAGAGTTGGATTCGCAGCCACCATCATGAAGGAATACGACGAATGCTCCAAGGTGGACCATGGATGCGCTCAGCAATGTATCAACACACTGGGCAGCTACGTGTGCGCCTGCCGAATCGGCTACGAGCTCCACTCGGATGGAAAGAACTGCGAAGGTACTTTTCCGGCCAAACCAACCAGGTGCTGTTAGTTTAGCCCCAATGCCTTCCAGACGCCTGTGGAGGAGTGTTTGAACTGCCCAATGGAACCATCACATCGCCCTCCTTCCCAGACCTCTACCCTCTGGGCAAGAACTGCGTGTGGGAGATCGTGACCCAGCCCATGTACAGAATCACCCTCAACTTTACTCATTTTGACTTGGAAGGGTTGGTCTCCGGCAGGAGCGTGGCCTCTGGTCGTGCCTACTGATGAAGGTTTTTGCAGGAAACAGCAGAAGGAGTGCGACTACGACAAGGTGGACGTTTTCAGCAAGCTGAAGGAGGGCCGGATGAGGCGGCATGGTTCCTACTGCGGCTCCAAATCGCCTGGGATGATCACTTCCGAAGGCAACAGTATGCGCGTAGTGTTCTACTCCGATACTAGTGTACAAAAAACTGGGTTTGCTGCAGTGTTTTACTCGGGTGAGTCAAGCGGAAGTTTCCACACTCTTCTTTGCCTTTTCTTAAGACATGTTGGGTTCCAGATCTAGATGAATGTGCCACTGACGAAGGAAACTGCCAACACGAGTGCGTAAACACGTTGGGTTCCTACATATGCACCTGCCACAACGGCTACACTTTACACGAGAATGGGCGCGACTGCATAGAAGGGGGCTGCAAGTACGAAATCTCCAGCCCCAGTGGCACGCTGACCAGCCCCAACTATCCCGACTACTATCCAGGAAAAAAGGTGTGTCCTCCAGGAAAAGCGGCTTGGTTTAATTGGAGTGTTCCAGGATTGCGTCTGGCACTTCAGTACCACGCCCGGCCATAGAGTGCGCATTGTTTTCCGCTACTTTGAGCTGGAGCCTCACCAGGAGTGCGCCTACGATCACGTGGACTTCTACGACGGTTCCTCCCCAGAAGCGCTCTCATTGGGGAGGTTTTGCGGCTCCAAGCTGCCCCATTTGATCGTCTCCAGCGGCAATCAGCTCTACATGACCTTCCGGTAAGTCTGCACTGTGGAGGCATAGTCCAGGTGCCATTTGCGGGTTTTTCAGATCGGATGCCAGTATCCAGAGAACAGGCTTTTCAGCCACTCACTCTACAGTGTGCGGCGGGCTCGTCCAGGCCAGTTTGGAGAAGAAACACATCTACTCCCATGCAAAGTTTGGAAGCGCCAACTACGACAACAGGTATTAAGTCCTTTCTGTACCTTCACACTCTAGTCACTCTACGGGGAATTTAGGGCGGACTGTGATTGGACGATTGAGGCCCCCATTGGCTACAACACCCACTTGTCCTTCTTAACCTTCGATGTGGAGGAGGAGTCGGATTGCATGTACGATTATGTGGAGGTGTTCAGTGGCTTGGAGGCCGCAGGCCCCAGCTATGGAAAGTTTTGCGGTTCTAAGGTAAGCCCTAAAAGATTGTGAAGTTGTTCAGGAGTGAGTTGATTTGGCTTCAGAAACCTTTCGACATCATTTCCACCAATGAGGCCTTGCTGGTGCGCTTTCGATCCGACGGCACTTTGGGCAGCAAAGGCTTCAGCCTTGTTTATGAGGCTGTACCTACTTACAGTGAGGAGGACAGTGACATTTAAGGCTGGGACTTAGAAGCCAAAAGGTTGTCTTCCTTTTTAGAGTTAGAGTTTGGTCGCAATGTCCCTTTAAAACAAACGACTGTTTCTCAATTCTCATTTGCATGAACTCGAATGGATTCCCCGCTCAATTTAGGACCAGATCCATATCAGGGCGCTTAAAAGGGCTTTAAATAGATGGCGCCTGGATGTAGCAGTAAAATCCTGCTCAGAGGGACTTTGACTTAAAATTGTGTGTGTTTGCTGTTAAATTAATAAACTTAGTACTTAAACCGTGCTGAATCCGCAATAGTTAAGTGAATGTTTAGGTGTCGAAGTCGCAGCTTTAAAGCCTTGTATTGTATGTATAGACTACACTGTGTGTTTTAGGACAGGACTAGCCAAAATAGACTATACTTGGAGGGTGGTCCAAATTTACACGCAAATATTTTCAAGGTTTTTTTTGAAACTGATGTATTTTACCAGTTGATTCAGACAGATAAATTGGGTGTGCCGGTGGCGCGGATTTTCACAGCTCACCTTTACACCAATGAAAAAAATTAGAATCTGCAAGAAGTTTTTGAAAATTTGGCACTTTCCACCCAAAAAAGCTGTCTTAAGTAAACGCTCTAAAGTAGGTCGTTAGGCCTGGGTGGCTCAATGAGTTTTTAGGGGTTGGCGCAGTGCTGCACATATGGCTTGGTGCGTCAACCGCTCCGGCGCAGTAACTCAGTTCTGTTGCTGGAAAAATGTTGATGACTTTTGTATTTGTTTTTAGATTATATTTAACGGCAATTTTACATAACTTTTTCGGAGTCGTTTTTCGGAACGAATTCGGGACAAAAACGAAAATTAAATTATCCCCTTTTTTCCCGAAAATCATTAAGATTTTCTCAAAAACCGATCACAAAACTAAAAGTTTTTAAGCAAAAACGCAAACAAACATTATTTTCTGATGATTCCCTACTTTTATGACAATAATTGGGTCTGTGCAGCCAAAAATGACAAAATTAATTTTGTTAGAAAATTTGCCTCATTCATCGGTATGCAGGAAACTTTAAATATAAAATAAAATAATTTTATTCAGTTTTTTACCGAAAGTAATAAAAATTATCTTGAAAAACGACCAAAGAGCAAAAGTTTGCCAAAAAATTACTTCGAGAATCATCTTCGAAAGAAAATTCGCTGCGCTCATCGCTCTGAAGATTTTTCAAGTTTCTTAAAAAATTCAGGGCTTTCTAGTTTCAGCAAAGTTTCTATTAAGCAATTATTTCTACAAAAAAAAACGTATTAATTTTAGTTCTATTTAACCCTTTTCAGTTTCGAATTTGGCAGAAAAACCAAATAATTTTATTCAGTTTTTTACCGAAAGTAATTAAAATTATCTTGAAAAACGACCAAAGAGCAAAAGTTTGCCAAAAAATTACTTCGAGAATCATCTTCGAAAGAAAATTCGCTGCGCTCAACGCTCTGAAGATTTTTCAAGTTTCTTAAAAAATTCACGGTTTTCTAGTTTCAGCAAAGTTTCTATTAAGCAATTATTTCTACAAAAAAAAACGTATTATTTTTAGTTCTACTTAAAATACTGACAATCTTTAGGTATTTTCTGTGAAAATTATAAAATACATTTTATTGGAACATTCGGCTCCTGAACAGCTTTGCACATTTTTTCTGGAACCTTTTGCAGCTTCGAATTTTGGACAAAATCCCAATAATTTTTTATGAATTTTTTCCCAAAAATATTTCCCCGAACAGAACAAGTGAAAGTTTATAATCAGTTATTCGGAAAACTGGTCACTTTTGTGGCTGTGAATAATTTGGTTTATTTAAATTCCGGTTTCTTTACTTTTGGGTCAATATTTCTAAAGAAAACTTTCTCTTAACAGAACAACGCGTTTTTTCCTAACGTTTTACTGTAAAACACTGGCAAACTGAGCGTCTTTTATGCAAAAAAGTTAAAAGATGGATTTTAGAAGAAAAGTAATCGTCTTTACAGTTTGGTCTTCTTTATCGCCTTTTTTGAATACCCGTTTTACCTTTGAATATGGGACGAATCGAAACAAAGTTATCTTGTTTTTTTTCGACAAAATTTCGGTTTTCTCGAAAAACGACCAAAGAAAGCAAAAGCGTATAATCAATATTTGGAAAACTCGTCATCCTCATCGCTCCGAATTTTTTAAAAGTTTCTTCAAAATTTCCAGAACTTTCCCGTTTTGCACCAAATAGTTTCAAGCCATCGCATGCGCAAAAGCAATATGTTGATGGTTTTTTTTTGTTAGATGCTAAAATTCCGCCACCGACCATGAGTTATCACTCATTAACCAATGAGTTAAAACTCATTAACTCAGAGAGCGTCAATAACTCAAAAGCGCAACTCAACGCAGTGTTACGCAGGCCTATCTGTTGTTATTGAGAAAAATGCGGGTTTTTGATGAAAAAGTAGCTTTTTGTCTTTAATTTCGTGCTTATTTAAAGTAGAAGGTTGAATTTTGCATGGATTTTTCCAAATACTTAGAGCTCAGTGAGCGTTAAGTCGCATTTGTCCATATATAAGTGGGATTCATTTTGGAACCAAGTGGGCTCTTTTCGTGCCTAAGTTCAACACGACTGGAAAAAATCACAATCCTAAGCCAAAATTGGAAAAACCTCTGTTTAGTACACACAAAAGTTGTCTTGATAAAGCGCTCTAAAATCAGCAGTTTTACAAAAAACTTACAGTTAAAAAAACTATTTCGCTACTAGATCACAAAAGGATTTTTTTCTTCAAAACGTCTGGCGCCAGAGCTTCTCATTAAGAGCGCTTTCTATGAAAAAACCCGTCGCCTTTCATGTGGTGTTTTTAAGGGGCCACTTTGTTCAGCTAAAGCTCCCCAAAGGTCCCCATCAACCTCCAAAGCTACGCCACTGCCTCATGAAAAAATTAGCTCATTGCTCACTGAACACCCAAAAGGGGCGGTGAAATGTTTGAGAAATTTCAGCTGTCTGTCTTGAAAAGTTCCGAAACTAAAGCAAAAAAACCACAGTTCTTTCAATGCGCTCAGTTCAACTGTTAAAATTTGGCCACCCTGTACAGGCCTGAGTAAGGAATTGTTATTTGTATATACCCCCGACGTGTTGCCTAGCCACTAAGATAAATGTTCGAAAACAAAATTGTTTTTCTACAACTTTTCCCGATGAAAATTTCCACAGGGTCAGCGCAGAAACGCAAGATGACAATGGAGAGCCCACAGACATGCAATAAAACGCCCCGTAACTGGGTGGGGCCGATTAAACCGCCGCTACTGTGCGTTAAATTAAAACTCATATTCCGCCAGCACTTATAATTTCAACTGATGAATGGAGGGCGATTAGGGAAGCCTCAAAATGCCCCTTTTCCGACCGCAGGTTTCGGCGACAACCATTAGTTGCGCTCTGTGCATCAGGCGATTTAATCAACAACAAAAAATGGGCATTAGAAAATGTCCAAGCTGGTAAACGTTGCCTTTGACTAATTTGGTGGGTTGAACCCTTGGGGAAACTTAAATAGGCCAAAAATCGAACCACCTCCTGGTTGGGGATTTATCCGGACCGAAATTGGCTCTGGCCGCTTGGCTCCGTTTAATTATCTTTTTGTTTTGGGGGCTTCGAAGGGTTGACGCGTATAAATATTACCCTTTAACATTAAACAGTCCTAATTAAGCACTTTTCTTGCATCATTCATCCTGTTTAAAGGTTAATTTTCGGCCTGCCTTGGACAAGTACCGCGTTCGCTCTCGACTTGTTTACCAGTTTCGAATGCTGCAAATGCGAATTAAAACCTCATTTTTCTCGATGGAATTTTAAATCACGAAACGGAGCATTACTAGCCAGTAAAGTGAAGTACAACGAATTTAATGCATATTTAATTGGCACTAAAAGGCGTCTTGTTTATGCTGGATGAGGCGAAGATGAGAAAATCCGGAAAACACCCTTAATCGACTGCAATGGCCATTATTCTGCGACTGTCTCTCCCATTTAGCAAACGATTATGAAATCGTGAAACGGTTTACTAATTCCTCGAAGAATATCCACCGAATGGAACTTGAGTCTATTGTGTTAGTAGCTGATTTTGCAATATTTTGTCGGACTTTCAATCAAGTAACTCTTTGATCTGATTATTCTGAAAATCGCTTAAAAAATAACAACATTTTAAACGGCAATCTGTTTCAGCTTATATCCAGGAAAATGTTGAAAATAGGTGCATAAGAAGCATTCCCATATGTCATCTAGTCCCCATGGTTTAAAAAATTCCCAACTTCCGAAAGAATTGAGCCTGACTAGTGAATTCGTCAACATTTTCAATTATATCTCGGACATGGTTGGATTTATCTCAATAGTCATAAGAAGCTTTTCGATAGAGAAGTTCAAGCGCCATTTTTCCTCATTAAGCTGTATGCCAAATTCCTAACCTTTAAAAGGTTAGCAGGAAAATCATGAAATGTTAAGGGACTGAGAAAATTCAAGAGCTTCTAGCTCGCAAACCGTAGGAAACATGCCAATAATCACAATTACTTTATCGATAGAGCTTTTTGTAAACTATCCTTGTTCTAATAAAGCTTTTTGAAAAATTTCCAACGTTTGAAAAGTTGTAAGGAAAAACATGAAATTTTAAGAGGCTGTCCAAGTTCAAAAGCTTTCATCTCGCAAATGGTAGAAAAATATTTAATGATCATCAGTACCTTTCCGATAGAGCGTCTCAAAAGCAATATCTTTCATAATTAAGTTTTAAGCAAAATTTCGAACCATTAAAAAGTTAGAAGGAAAATCATGACATTTTGAGAGACTGACAAAGTTCAAGAGCTTCTAGCTCGCAAACCGTAGAGAATATGTCAATAATCACAAGGACTTTTTCGATAGAGCTTCTAGTAAAATATATTTTTTCTGATAAAGCTTTTTGTAAAATTCCCAACGTTTGAAAAGTCGTAAGACAAAACATGAAATTTTAAGAGGCTGTCCAAGTTCAAGAGCTTCCATCTCGCAAATCGTAGAAAATATGTAAATAAACACAAGAACTTTTTCGATAGAGCTTCGTGTAAACTATCTTTTTTATAATGCAGCTTTTTCCGAAATTCCCAACGGTTGAAAAGTTGTAAGACAAAACATGAAATTTTAAGAGGCTGTCCAAGTTCAAGAGCTTCCATCTTGCAAACCATAGAAACATGTTAAATCATCATTAGGAGCTTTCCGATAGAGCTTCTCAAGAGTAATACTCTTCGTTATTATGTTTTATGCAAAATTTCCAACCTTACGAAAAATGAACTTTTAAGTGACTGACAAAGTTCAAGAGCTTCTAGCTCGCAAACACTAGAAAATATGTAAATAAATACAAGGACTTTTTCGATAGAGCTTCGTGTAACCTATCTCTTTTAGTAAAGCTTTTTGCAAAATTACCAACGGTTGAAAAGTTGTAAGGAAAAACATGAAATTATAAGAGGCTGTCCCAGTTCAAAAGCTTCCATCTCGCAAACTGTAGAAAAATGTTAAATCATCATTAGCAAAATTGCTAACCTATAAAATGTTAGAAGAAAAAACATGGAATTTAAAAAAAACTGTCGAAGTGCAAGATCCTATATTTTGGCAAAAAATTGAAAAAATTATGAGAATCTGCAATAGAGCCCCAGAGCACTGTTTCCGTCTTACTAGGTTTTATGAGCAAATTCAAACATTCTAACCTCCAAAGAGATGGAGGCAAAATTGTTAAAAATCGCGCCATTCAAAAAATTGATTTTACAGAGCGTTTCATGCGGGATGGTTTGATTGATGGAAAAGTTTAGAGCGCGTTACCCTTGGCAGCGTGTTGCCAAGTTTTGGATTTATCCTTAAAGAATGTACATTGTGGAAATAAAAAAGTGAAAAAACTGTCCAAAACTGTCCAAAAGGCAACTATTGGTTACCAAAGTCCCCAGTTTTTTCTGGTGACTACACTGAACCAAATCCAGGCTTCCTAGCAATCAAGAGCTGAAAATCGAATTTTCTGGCCTGCGTGATATTAGCAAATATTTTAGTAAAATTGAAAAATAAAAACGCTAATGTCTCATGTATTTAAAGTCGGAAAAATGATTTTGCAAGCGTACTTGCGTGCATCGTTGTGCGACGGCGATAGGAAATGTTGCCGCCGTCTGAAGCCGCCAGTATATCGCGCATCTTTCAACATACAAAAACGCTTTTACCGAACGAAAGCCGTCGGTTTTTACGCGAGTTTCACAACTTTTGCGCTCTTTTCCGCAATTTTTCCAAAAGTGAATGGATTAGTGGTGTTTTAGAACTTTGCCGTTTTTAGTGGCTTGAATCCTTACAGGTGAGTTTTCGCTGACTTTAACGTTCAACAGTTGCACGCAAAAAGTGTTTTCAATCGGTTCACTCCCCATTTAATTATTGAGTTTCTATCAATTTTTCACAGTTTCAAATTACACCATCAAGTGCAGGTAAAATGGGAGCAAATTTTGCATATTTTCCATCAAGGCTGTTTTTCCAGAAATTTAATCAAACACTTTCTGGATGGATTTTTGTCGCGGACGTGCCAGTCTTACAAATCACTTTGATCATTATGAACTGGCTAACTGGGCGACGCTCTACTGAAGAATCCATGGGCTTTTATCAGGCCGTTCGTGCCAAGGTTTTCTAATTGCCGCTCAAATTCTACACTATTTCTGCTGCATTTGAATAAATTTCTCAATCGTGTCTAGAACCTGGCAAAATGCCCCCTTATAACGCTTCAAATGAGCTTTTGAAGAATACATAAAGAAAATACACAAAGTAGGCCTGGGTAACACTGTATTGAGTTGCGCTTTTGAGTTGTTGCCGCTCTCTGAGTTAATGAGTTTTAACTCACTGGTAACTGAGTTATAAATCATGGCCGGTACCTGAATTTTAGCATCTAACAAGAAAAAACCATCAACATATTGGTTTTGCGCATCGATTGCTTGACACTATTTGGTTTATAACGGGAAAATCCGGAGGTTTTGAAGAATCTTTAAAAAAATTCAGAGCCATGAGGATGACGAGTTTTCCAAATATTGATTATACACTTTGGTTTCTCTGGTCCTTTTTTGCGAAAAAATTAATTTTGTCGAAAGAAAGAAGATAACTTTGTTTCGATTTTGTCTCAGATTCAAAGGTAAAACGGGTATTCGAAACAGACGATAAAAAAGACCAAATTGTAAAGACGACGACTTTTCTTGTGAAATCCATCTTTCAACTTTTTTGCATAAAAGACTCAGTTTGCCAGTATTTTACAGTAGTAACTTTGCTAAAACTGGAAAATTCTGAAAATTTACAGAAATATTAAAACTATTATTGGTAAATGGCCTTTAAAATAAATATAAAAACAAGTAAAAAGTTATCAACATTTCCCCAGCAACGGAACCGAGTTACTGCGCCGCACTGCGCCAACTCCTAGAAATTAATTGAGTTACCCAGGCCTAGAACAAAGGAATTTTTATGCAATCAAAAGCACCTAAATTACCCATTTTTCCATCAAACAAAGTCGCAAATAGAAAGTTTTTTTTGTACAGCCCCTGTAGCTTTATCGGTAGCAGTTGGAGGTATGGCATTGGCCGAAGCTGTCGGTTTCATTCCTTTACCAGGACTGTTTGAAACTATCTGCTAGATTTGAGCGTACAGAGAACCATTTGGAATCCGCAGGAGTAATGCTTAAAAATCGGCGAAAGAAGGAGCTTTGAGTGCAGCTAATCTGGGGCATGACACTGGTTGATGTTGCAGACATTTTATTAAACTAAATAAGTGAAATTTAGGGTCGCCCTGTATTGAATTCTCGACATGAAGAAAAACGCAACTGAAAAGTTAATGAAACGATACCCGCAAAGGATGTGCAGAAAACCTGCCTCTCATTTCCATATCTCAACTACTAACAGCAAAAAAATCATTTGAAAAGTCCAAATTTTGAGGTTCGCCGTGGAATCCAAAGAGTCAAAAAATAATTTTTCAACATCCCCCCGGAACATCGAATTTAACCCCGTTGTCTCGTGCATCGACGTCTCAAGCAATAAACGTGCCTTAACCGTCCAAAATTCCTCTTTTTCCCCATCGAAAGCCGATGTTTCCCTGTTTTTTTTTTAATGGAACGACAATTTATCATCCCCATTGGATTGAAAAGCGCCCCCATTGACACATTGCGCGCCCTCCACCCCGATAAAGATCGACTTTAAAGGTGAGAGTGTCGGTTCCAAAGTCAACTATTCGAGTTTTACCTATTTTTAGCTCGATCAAAGGCCGCAATTTGCCAAAAAAACTGTTCCAATCATCACTGTCATTTTCACATTTCGATTTTCTTTACATTTCAAAGGGCCAGTGAAAGGGCCATTTAAATGCGACGTTCTTTAGCATGCAAATGCGGCGGTCGTTCGCTCGTTTGGTTGGTGCAACTTCTTCGCATTGGTGGCTTTCGGCTTAAATCTGATCGAGTGGCTACCTGGGGAGATCCAGATACTCTTTTATTTATAAGGTGGGAAGGAAAAGCAATGTGTATGTTAAGCAGACGCTGACTGGGATCAAAGGGCCGGATTAAGATGCCAACAAAGGTGACTGTCGAAAAAATATCTGGATCGTTTATTTGGGTGCGAAAAGGGCTTTTAATTTAGCTTCAACAATAACTAAGTGGATTTTTTCCTTTGAAGCGACGAAGCAAAGCTCGTAAACGTCCAAATTGTTTTTATTGGCTCGTGTAACGCAGTTGTTTCGCTTCAAAGTGCGTGATCATTCGGCTTCTTATATCGCCCATAAAACCAACTTTTTCATCGGTTTCATTGAGGCAATATTTTTATTTTTCTTTGCCTTCGTGCTTTCTCATTCATTTCCTGTTCTATTGCAATGACTCGAGTGCATTCGACGCTTTGTTTCCCCCCATTCTCATTCCAGGAATAATTTCCAACTTTCGGTTGCGTTGCTAATTAGTTTCCATTCTAGTCAAATTCTAGTTCAAAAAAGTAACATTTAATATGGACGCGGATGTTTTCAATGCGCCAATCAATCGATGGGTTATTGAGTGCAAACCATCGAAGCCAGAGTGTTTGATAAACATTTTACCTTATGAATGTCAGAACGGTTAAATTTGATGTTTAGAAGCTGGAAATAGACCAGGTCGCATTACTTGGGCGCGGCGCAATGAAATTGGGAAGTTTCCTTTTTGGGGTTGCGGAAGTTTGGCAAAGTTTGCGTGGTTTTAGTGGCTGTGCCAGCATTCAATGCAGTGCAGTCTTCAATGGATGTGGCCGATTCGCTCAGTTTGCCTTTTGGCCTTAGAACTGAGCGTCAAATGAACATTTACGCCTCGTTCTTTGTTTTGCCTAAATAATTTGGGTGTGGCAGTTTTCCAAAATTCCTGATGATGGCCGGAATTTCAACATTTCAGCCTTAGTAGCTACGAATCTGCTGCTTCCAAGGCAAACATTTCCTGGTTTCTAGCTCATTTCGTCTTTTCTGGTTTCTCTGACACATTTTACATATTTTGTCCGTTTTTAAATTTTTTGAAAAAATCCCTGGTGATGGCCCGGATTTGAAAGTATAAGGATAGAACGGAGGAATTTTCTACGTCTAAGGCAAGTAAAAGTAGTTTTTTATCATTTGCGGTTTAAAGTTAATTTTTTTTCGAACGTTTGTCTACGTAAATGCGCTCAACTCAGTTTTGCAAATATTGCTTCCCTTTGAAATTTTTTCAAAAACCCCTGATGACGGCCGCAATTTGGAAGTTTCAGAATTAGAACAGAGGAATCTTCTGCTTCTAGGGCGAAAAACGGCAGATTTCCATCATTTGCGGTCTAGAGTTAACAAATTTTTTTCCAACGTTTATCTACTTAAATGTTCCCTACAGAGCTCGTAAAATAGCTTCATTTTGAGATTTTTTCAAAAAATCTCTAATGATGGCCCGGATTTTAAAGTATCAGGATTAGAACGGAGGAATCTGCTGCCTCTAAGACAGAAAACAGTAGTTTTTCATCATTTGCAGTTTAGAGTTAATTTTTTTTCGAACGTTTGCCTACGCAAATGCCTCCAACTCAGTTTTCCAAATATTGCCTCTTTTTGAAATTTTTTCAAAAAACCCCGGATTATGATCGCAATTTGAAAGTTTCAGAACAATAACAGAGGAATCTTCTGCTTCGAAGGAGAAATACTCCAGATTTCCATCATTGGCGGTTTAGAGTAAATTTTTTTTTTCAACTTATGACTTTTTTGTCTAGGTAAATGCGCCCAACTCGTTTTTGCAAATATTGCTTCCCTTTGAATTTTTTTCAAAAAATACCTTGAACGCAATTTGAAAGTTTGAGAATTAGAACTCATAAATCTTCGTCTCCTAAGGCGAACATCAGGCATCTTTCATGACATTTAGAGTTAGTAAATTTTTCTTTTGAACCTTTGTCTTTGTAAATGCCCCGAACTAATTTTTTCCGAGAAATTTTCCAGTCTTTCACCGAAAAAAAAATCAGCATCGTATAGAGCGCCGATAGAGCCCAGACGCCCCACAGCGTCTCCATTTCCATTGAAATTAATTAATGTTGTTTATGTTCCATTAATGTGAACTGTTTCCCTAAAGCCCCATTTCCATAACTGAACTTGCACCGATTTTCTCCTGAATAATCACTTTCCGCATGCTCAATCGTTTCACCTGATCATCGCACTTGTTCCATGAATTCCAGAGTTGATCCAGAAAAAAGTGCACAACGATTGCCGAAGACAACGTTATCGGGATCGGGATGAATCCGCACATTGATTCGCAATGACAACCTCGGATGCAAACGCTGTCTGGAATAATCCTGGATCGGGGATTTTATTTCCGGCAAATGAGTTTTGTGCCGCACCGGATTGGAGCGATACGAGTGTTCGATTTGTTTGCCTTCTATTGCACTGTCCATTTGAGTGACGCTGGCAGTAATATGAATTTTATTAAACTGTCCAACCACTTGAGAAGATCCACTCGTACCGATTGGATATCGAGCTAATCCTCACCAAATCTTCCAAAGTGTTACGAGAAGAAATGACCCCATCCAGTACCAATCGGCTGAGGTTAAGAATAAATTTGATGGATGAAAAGAAACGAAAACTTAGGCGATTTGGAAAATTTTTGAAAAAATCCCTTATGATGATTGGAACTAGAAAATGTCAGGATTAATGGCCAATAATCTGCTATTTGTAGGGCAAAAATCTCCAACTGTCTGTTTTAAGCGGATTGAAAGTAATTAATTGAGTTTTGATCCTGCGTTTTCATAAAAATTGTTCGATTTTACAGGTTTTTGCTAAGCTTCCTGAGGATTGCGATTCCCCTAAATTTGCAGGATTAGTGGC